ATTGGCCTGAAGTTTTTTTTCTTTGTTATTTCTTTACCTGGTTTGGGGATTAGGATGATGGTGGCTTCATAAAAAGAGCTTGGGAGGCTTCTATCTTCTTTGATCTTTTTGGATAGTCTATGAAGAATAGGGGTTAGCTCATCCTTAAATGCTTTGTAAAATTCTCCTGTGAAACCATCTGGTCTGGGGCTTTTGTATGTTAGGAGGTTTTTTTTTACTATTACTGCTTCAATTTCATCTGCTCTTATTGGTTTGTTCAGACTTTATGCTTCTTCACTCAGTTTTAGATTATATTTTTCTAGATATTTGTTCATTTCACCTAGGTTTTCAAATCTCTTGGCATGTAGTTCTTTGTAGTAATTTCATACAGTTCTTTGTATTTCTGTGGTATACGCTGTAATCTCTCCTCTTTCATTTCTGATTTCGTTTATTTGGGTCTTCTCTCTTTTTTTCTTGATGAGTCTGATTAAAGGCTTGCCAATTTTGTTTATCTTTTTAAAGAACTGGTTCCTGAATTTATTGACGCTTAGAATTGTGCTTTTAGTCTCTACGTCATTTAATTCTGCTACTTGCTCTGGGCTAACTTTGTTGTTGTTCCTCCAGTTCTTGTAGATGTGGGGTTAGGTTGTTCATTTGAAATGTTTCTATCTTTTTTAGACAGGTCTGTATCACTATGAACTTCCCTCTCAGAACTGCCTTCACTGTGTCCCATAAGTTTTGGATTGTTGTGAATTTATTTTCATTTGTTTCCAGAAACTTTTTTATTTCTTCCTTGATCTCATTCTTGACCCATTGATTGTTTAATAGCATGCTATTCAATCTCCATGAGTCTGAGTGTTTTTTCTTTTTTTCCTTGAGGTTGGTTTCTAGTTTCAGTCCCTTGTGGTCAGAGAAAATGCTTGATATAATTTCAATTTCTTGAATTTGTTGAGGTTTGTTTTGTATTATGTGGTCTATCTTTGAAAATATTCTATGTACATTTGAAAAGAATGTGTACTTTGCTTCTTTGGGATGAAATACTCTCTCTCTCTCTCTATATATATATATATATCAATTAAGCCCATTTGACCTAGGACATTGTTCAATGTTGCAATATCTTTGTTGATATTTTGCTTGGAAGATCTATTTATTTTTTATAGTAGGGTGTTAAAATTGTCTACTATAATTGTGTTGCTGCCAATATCTTTCTTGAAGTCCTCCAAGATTTTCTTTATGTATTTGGGTGCTCCTATGATGGGTACATATATATTTACAATGTTTATGTCTTCTTGATGTATTCTTCCCTTGACTATTATGAAGTGACCTTCTGAGTCTCTTTTTCTGGACTTTTTTGTGCAGTCTATTCTGTCTGAGATGAGTATTGCTAACCCAGCTTTTTCTTCCCCTACCCATTTGCCTGGAATATTTGTTTTCCCTTCACTTTTAGTCTGTATAGATCTTTTGTTCTGAGATGGGTCTCTTGGACATCCCAATTGGACATTTAATCCATTTACATTTAAGTTTATTATTGATAGGTACTTATTCATTGCCATTTTTTCATACCTGTGTTTCTCTCTCACACACTGTTTTTCTTCCTGTCCTTAAAACAGACCTTTTAGCATCTCTTCAAGAGCTGGTTTGGAGGAAGTATATTCTTTAAGGCTTCTTTGTCTGGGAAGGTCCTTATTTGGCCTTCCATTTTAATTGAGAGCCTTGCTGGATAAAGTAGTCTTGGTTATAGACCTCTGGTTTTAATTACTTGGAATATTTCTTGCCATTCCCTTCTGGCTTGGAGTGTTTCCATTGAGAAGTCAGCTGTTAGTCTTATCAGGGCTGTCTTGTATTTTACTTCCTGTTTCTCCCTTGCTGCCTTCAATTTTCTCTGTCTTGGAATTTTGCCATTGTTATGATGTGTCTTGAAGTGGGCCTCTTTGGGTTCCTCTTGATTGGGACTCTGTGTTTCCTGGATTTGTGTGACTTTTTCTCTCATCAAAATTAAGGAAGTTTTCCATCATTACTTTTTCACACAGGTTTTCTATCCCTTGCTCTTCTTCTTCTCCTTGTGATATCCCTATTATATGGACATTATTATGTTTCATGTTGTCCTGCAGTTCCCTTAACACCTCTTCATTCTTTCTGAGTGTCTTTTTCTTTTCTTGCTCTTTCTGTGTTTTTTTTTCTACCTTGTCATCTAGCTCACTGATTTGATCCTCTGCTTCATCTAGCCTACTTTCAATTCCTTCTATTGTGTTCTTCAATGCAGAAATTGTATTCTTCATTTTCTCTTGGCCCTTGTTGATAGTTTCTATTTCCTTTTTCATGTTAATATAGTTTGTAGTGAGTTCATTGTTGTTTCTCTGTAGTTTTTATTCTCTGTGAGCTCGTTGAGCTTCCTGATAACCATTGCTTTGAACTCAATATCCGATAGTTGACTTGTCACTATTTCATTTGGCATTCTTTCTGAGGTTTCCTCTTTTCCTTTCATTGGAGGTTTGTTTCTTTGTCTTCCCATTGTTTGTGAGACTCTTCCTATTAGCTTCTGCTTCTTAAATGGATCTGTTCTGACTCCCTGAGTTTATGGTGTGAACTTCTATGGTTCTACCTATGGGCCTGTGAGATTAAGTAGTGCAGTCTCCTTGACCTCCTGAACTTGCTGCTCTGGGCTGTTTATGTTGGCTCCCTGGATGTCTTTGGGTTTTGATTGTTGTTGGGTCTTTCTTTGGTGGGTCCTTCCCTCCAGCTGGTTAAGTAAGGGTCATTCCACCCATCAGGTCTTGTATTATATTGTGCAGGTGCGGACATGTTGTGTCGAAGCTGTTTCTTCTGTCTATCCTAGGTTTTGAGGCTTCTCTCCCACTCTTGTTCATTTGTTTGTTCTTAGTAATTTCTGCACTGTTTAGTTGTAACTCCAGATTAGTCCTAGGTGGAGGTTAGTGTGGCTTCCACTCACTCTTTCATGTTCTTCTGCTATTATCTGTTGGTGGTTCATTTTTTGGTGGGTTCTCTCTTGCAACAGGTATACTGGTATTCACAGCTGCCACCTACTCTTTTATGTGATCATTTGGAAGGGGAAGGCATAATGGATTAAAACAGTGGGAGTGTATTCTAAGGGACTTAAAGTACCAACCCATAGAGAAGAGATAGGAAATGCTTTGGATAAATATAGCATTAACTGTGATATTTCACCCAACTAGTCACTTTTAGACAAGGTGGAAAAAAGATAAGACTCTTGTTAGGGGAGGGGGGAAGGATTGTGAGTTGGACCCAGAAAATAGTGAGCTTACGGGAGGTCAGATTATGCGATATAGTGAGAGTAAAGGATAGAAAATGTTTGTGATGTGTGAGAGAATAGAGTTCACCACCACAGTAATAAAGTTCTGGAGGACAGTGAAGTGAGCTAAGATCAGGAGGGGTGTTGTATAGCATTTACATTTGTATGGAAGGACAATTTTTTACAATACTGATGGAGCAACAATCATATGACAGAATCTATGTGATCTGAATAACAAGAATAGGAAGTACATGACCTATAGTAGTGTGCTACTATAACACAAGTGAAGTGAAAAAGGGAAAATTAAAAATGCACTATGAAAGAGGGAACAAAGAAAACCAATCAAACAATGCAATTAAACAAACAAAACAAAGAAAATTAAACAGAAAGAAGAGAAATTTTTAAAATGCTAATAAAATAAAAGAAGTAAAAATAATGAAAAAATAATAATATCAATAAACAATCACTTGCAAGTTCTCTGGAATAGCACAGTGAAATTTGTCTCAGTTTCTCAGTTGTTGGGATGACCCTTCTTTGGGTCTGACTCTGTTCCTTTCACAGCTCCAGGTTTTATTGTCTCACTTGTAGGGGAAAAAAGAGAGAGAAAGGAAAAAGGAAGAAAGAAGCCTCCTGCTTACTTTAAACTGGCCAAGTGAGTTCTGCTGGTCTTCCTGGCTGCAGTAGGCTGAGGGGAGTTGGGTTTCACTTTTCTCTCTTCCTGTGGCACGATGGGGGTCAGGTCTGAGCCACACTCTTCACAGTTGCTCAGCCTCCCGCCCAGTCCCTCAGTTCACTGCCAGGCCTATGTCTTCAGTCCACCAGTAGTGCTGTCCTTGAGGTGCACCAGTTACGGGCAACTCACACACCACTTTCTTGCTCTTTGCTGTCCTAGGTGCTAGGGACTCTCAAAATCTCTTTAGGGTAGTTTGGCTCCCCCACCGGGTTAAGTCTTTCTGGGGGCTGCTGATTCCCTGAGCCCTGCTGCTATCCTCTGAGGAGGGGCACCTCCACCTTCCTCTTCACAGCTGGTCCACTCAGCAGGGCAGGAGCACTGCCATGGCAGCAGAGGTGGACGCAGGTGTGCACCTCTCAGCTTACTAATTTTTCTAAACCCAGTGAGGGAGTGCAGCAGTGTTTGAGAGAGATCCTGTACCCTTCCCCCATGTGTGCAGCATCCGGACACACTGACACCCAGCACTTTGAGAAAGAAATATCCTCATCAGTGTATGGAATCTTCCTGGATTGATGTTTGCCCCTTTGGGGGGAAAGAAAGGACAGAGGTGGAGAGAGGGTAGAACCTTCCTCTGTATCTTAAATTTAATTGGGCAAGAACCCTTAGATCCAGCTAGAGGGAGTCTGACTCAGAGAAAAACCATGGAAACCACCGCTATAAGAATGGTGCTTCTCCAGCCCTGTATCTGAACATGGAGACCTAACTCTGTTCCTCTGCATGCTCTTAGTTAAGGCTGTAAGAACATTGGGATTCACTGATGTTTTTTGTGTCTTGGTCCAAATAAAGAGAGTTAATGGGGGGATGGGGGGTCCTGCTCATTGCTGGAGTCCCCCACCCTGGTCCTCCAGGTCCTGACTGTCCCTCCTTGAACTCCATTCCTGTTGCTACAGATCCTGATGGCTGAGAACTACCCTGGGGCTGCAGGAGGAAGGAGACAACACTTGAAAAGTTACTTTCACTTTTATTTTCCCCATTTGGGTGGAGCTCTCCTTGGCTGAGTCAATTCACACGCTTCCTGCTCAGGGTTGGACAGCCACACTGAAACCGGGCTGGGGGTTCAGAAAGGATCCGAAGTCCTGGCAAGGCCCAGGACAGGACCATGGCCAGTGGGGGCAGTGATCTCAGCACCAGGTCAGTCTCTGTCTTCCTTCTTTTAACTTCGTCTCTGGCTGTGCTGCTGCTTTAGTGCCTGTCATTAGACACTCGTCTAAACCTTGAACTTAGTCCTGCTTTACATGTACGCTCACATGCAGTGTAATGGAATGCGGGAGTATGTAGTGAGGGAATTGCATCCTTAAACTTCGGAGGGACAGCTGCTGATGTGAGCACAGCTGAAACAGTCCACAGGATTCTTGTCTCACAACTGCTGCTAGCTGTGGCACATCTGGACTAGGCTGTCATTTCTGACACTTTGAGAAAGGGATTTGTTATTTTCTCATAACCTCTGAACCCTCTTGTTTCCTTTAGTCTTCCTATATCTTCACCTGGGCCATTTTGAAGATGGTACTTTAGGAAATATAAAATTCAGGATAAACATCTGACTTTTCGACTCTGGGTGGCTTGGTCTCCTACCTGACCTCGGGATGGGTCAGCTCCAGATCTATTCCTGTCTCAGGCAGGGGGTCTGGGTCTTCATCCAGGGATCTTAATAAGGAAGTAAAAGGAAGCAGAAGTAAAAAGATGACAAAGACCAGTGTAGGCTGGTGATTTCCATTTGTACTTTGATTTTCTGCTCTGGATGGATATCTCTGACAAGGAAAAGGCTAGAAATCCTACCTTTTTCTTTACTAATGGGTCAGGAATTACATTACTTAGTAAGTTTGATTGTTTGATATTTAATACAAAAATACATTATACATTTTTGGTCATAAAATTTCAAGTAACATAGATGTATATAGAGGGAAGTTGGCCCATTCAACACCCACCCCTGCTCTTCCCATCCTGGGGCTGCTGAGTGTTGTGGCCACAGCCTTTTATGTCTTTTCTATGCATTTACACACATGACTTGTTTTCCTAAATGCGTAATTTCTGTCTTATTTTTTAATGAGTGAAATTATATTGTATATATCATTCTGGATTTTACATTTTCTAAATTTCAATAATAAAATTATTAGAGATTTTTCATGTTAATAAGCATATGAATCTACCTCATTCTTATTAAAGCTGCATACTGCTCCATGAAGTTGTCTTCCATAATTGTTAAATTATGTTTCATTTAAAACATTTGTGTTGTTTTCAGTTGTTCACTGTTACCAACAAACTGTGATAATAACAATTACATATTTCTTTATGTTTTTGCATATAAAGAAGTCTTTGTCTTGTGTCAGAAAACAAAAGGTAGAATTCTTCAGGCAAAGGGTACTAATGTTCACTTGTTCATAGATCCTACCAAATTGCCTTCTTTCTGGCTGAACCACTGTATTCTCCCGCCACTGGCTGATGAGCCATCTCTTCACACCCAGACTTCACACAGGTGCTGGATAAAGGGATGCAGCCTGTTAATGTGCATTCTCTGATTGCATGGGAGGTTGAACAGGTTTTCAAATCTACTGTCCATTTAAATTGCCTCTTCTATGAATTGTTGGTTTCATTTTGGCCAATGTAAAAGTCGAGATGATTGTCCTTCCTTTAATGACAAGGGAGAGTTTGCTACATACTCTGGACTTATCAATATGTTTCCTTGTCTTTTAACTTTTTATGGCAACTTTTATCTTAATAAAGTTTTCAAATTAGAGTAAAAACTTATAATATTGATTTTATAAGATAGATGCACCCTGTTTATCACAAGTACATACTATGTGTACACAAAAGTATACTTTGATACAAGTACACAAAAGCTATGTGTACACAAGTACACAAAAGCTATGCTGAAAGTTACTGGTAAATTCCACACACACTGTCTTTAACCAGAGTTCTTGTTTAGTGAGGTGGCAGAGTCAATTCTACCTTCACTTCAGGGAAAGTTTCTTCTCTAAAATCTACAAAATATGTTTTTTTTTAATTTTGGGGAGTAAAACTCTTCTTCCCTGCATGCAACTTTAGTATTCACAGCGTTATTTGTCCCCAATAAATCATCTTTTTATTTCCTGTTCATAATAGTTGTCTCAAGTTTGCTTCTATGACAACTACTTAATTTTTAGTAGATCTTGTGGATTTTTGTTACTACTAATTTTTTGAAATGCTGAGTCTGTGAGTTTCCTCATCTCCCAGCTGTAGCCCTCTACCTGTGTAAAGGCCAGGTAATCAGCCTCCAGGTGTGGCCAGAGCTGAGCTCTGCTTTCCTGGGAGGAAGTGGCTTCCCAGCTTTCTGCTCGATGTTCTCTGGACCTCATCATCATGGTCATGGCCAGCTCCAAATGGTGAGCCTTTGGGTAATTCCTCTCTGCTTTTCAGGGACATTTGACATGGCTTCTTTAGCTTTTTGGCTGAAAAACTTGACCGTGTACTGAAGGGGGAATCTGACTGTGCGTTGGGACCCTCACTCCAGCCCTGCCTGACCCTCGCAAGCTCACCTGTCCTCCTTGCTCCCAGCAGAACTCCTTGCCCTTGACCAAGCCTAGGTTCTCATTCTCTGCTCTGGGACTAGTATTTTTCATTTTTTAATGGTGTCTTTCAAAGCACAAAATATTTACTATTTTTTACTAATTTACCAGGTTATTTTTTACTGGATCTAGCTTTTGATGTTACAGCTACCTTTATGTCTATAACCCGAAGCACAAATACTTTCTCCTAGATGTTTTTCAAAAAGTGTTCTCATGTTCACTTTTATGCAGTCCCAGCTATTGCAGTTCATGCTCACAGCAGTAACAAATGTCTGCTTCTCTGAATCTTCTCCCACGCTGCATTGTAACTTAGGAAATTGTGTTTGCCAATCTAGTGGGTGAGAAATTGTTTCTCATTGATGTTTTAGTTTATATGTATTCATATGTTTAATGGACATTTTAACTTTATTTTCCTAGGGTGACTGTTTAAATCCATTTGGGGGAATAATATGTCGTATTTTGTCAATAGGCTGGAGTCTTAGTATATCATATATATTAATTCTTACACATGTGTGCTGAAAATATTTTTCTACATTCTTTTAATATCTTACTGTATTTTTAACATTAAACCTATTAAGTCTTCTTCTACTTACTTGTTTCTTATACTTTGCTTGACTCAGATATTTTTCCTGTCATATGCATTTTTAAATTATCTTATCCACTTTCAATAGGATTACAAATTGCAGGTGCACTAGAAGGGGACTTTTACAATAATTTCAGAAAGATTGAGACTTTAAAATTGTTATGTTTTCCTAACTAGAGGCACCTTCTACATCTCCATTAATTTAGATCTTGTTTAATTATCTTCAATAAGACATTATAGTTTCTTTCATATAGTTCGTAACTTTTAGATGTTTATAAATATATGCATGTGTATTTACTATTGTGTTCGAAGTAGTGTTTTCTTTCTTTTCAACATATGTTGTTGCAAATAAAATCTGTTCATTTCATGTATCTTCTTTAAAAATTCGTGCCTCTTGGCAAATTTTTTTTCTAGCCTTTAGGGAATGTAATTAGGTTCTTATCATTTCTCTACATGTAATCATATATCATATAATGCCATATCTTATTTTAGTATTTACACCCATGAATTTTTTTTCTTATCCTATTGTATCAGCTAAAACATATATGTGTGTAAATTGTTGTAATGGTAGACATCACTGAATAATCTCATCATTTCATTGTTTACTATAATATTTGCCATATTTGGAGACTTCGTAATGTGTCAGCTTTCATCTATTTCATATAGTTTTTCTTAAAATAGTGGCTAGGTGTTTCCAAATTTTTTTAATAAATTTTTTTTTACCAATTCTACACTGTTTTTACTATTAGATCTTTATAGTATAGTTTAATGTCAGGTAACATGATGCTTCCTACCTTGTTTCTTCTCAAGATTTCTTTGGTTATTGGGGGGTTTTGTGGTTCCATATAAATTCTAGGATTAGTTCTAATTCTGAGAAGAATGTGTTTTAATAGGGACTGCATGGAATCTGTATATTATTTTAGGTAATAAGGACACTTTAATAATATTAATCCTTCAAATTCATGAACATGATATATTTTTCCACTTATGTGTATCTTCTTCAATTTTTGTTATCATTGTTTTATTTTTCAATATATTTTATTGATTTTTCTATTACAGTTATTCCACTCCCCCCCTTATTCCCCTCTGCCCTGCACACCCCCTCCTACCCGCATTCTTCCCCGACCCCATAGTCCATGTCCATGGGTAATACATATAAGTTCTTTAGCTTCCTCATTTCCTATACTATTCTTAACCTCCCCCTGCCTGTTTTCTACCTACCATTTATGCTACTTATTCCCTGTACCTTTTCTCCCATTCCTCCTCTCCCCCTCCCAGCTGATAACCCTCCACGTGATTTCCATTTCTCTGATTCTGTTCCTGTTCTAGTTGTTTCCGCAGTTTGTTTTTGTTTTTGTTTTTTAGTTTCATTTGCTGATAGTTGTGAGTTTGTTGTCATTTTACTGTTTATATTTTTGATCTTCTTCTTCTTAGATAAGTCCCTTTAACATTTTATATAATAAGGGCTTGATGATGATGAACTCCTTTAACTTGTCTTTATTTGGCAAGCATTTTATCTTTCCTTCCATTCTATATGATAACTTTACTGGGTAGAGTATTCTTGGATGTAGGTCCTTGTCTTTCATGACTTTGAATACTTCTTTCCAGACTTTTCTTGCTTGTAAGGATTCTTTGGAGAAATCACTTGACTCCTTTGTAGGTAACTGTCCCATTTCCTCTTGCTGCTTCTAAGATTCTCTCCTTATCTTTTACCTTGGGTAATGATGTGCCTTAGTGTGTGTTTCATTGGGTTCACTTTCTTTGGGACTCTCTGAGCTTCCTGGACTTCCTGGAAGTCTATTTCCTTTCCTTTGCCAGATTGGGGAAGTTCTCTTTCATTATTTTTTCAAATAAGTTTTCAATTTCTTGCTCTACATCTTATTCTGGCACCCCTATGATTCAGATGTTAGAACGTTCAAAGTTATCCCAGAGGTTCCTAAGGCTCTCCTCATTTTTTTTTTTTTTGAGTTCTTGTTTCTTCATTCTGTTCCCATTGAATATTTATTCCTTCCTTCTGGTCTAAACCGTTGATTGAGTCCTGGTTTCTTTCCCATCATTGTTAGTTCCCTATACATTTTCCTTCATTTCACTTTTCATAGCCTTCACTTTTTCCTCTATTTTGTAACCATACTCCACTATTTCTGTGAGCATCCTGATTAGCAGTGTTTTTGAACTGTGCATCTCATAGGTTGGCTATCTCTTTGTTGCTTAGTTGTATTTTTTCTGGAGCTTTGATCTGTTCTTTCATTCGGGCCATTTTTTTTTTTTTGTCTTGGCCTGTTATGTAATAAGGAACAGAGCCTTAGGCATTCACTAGAGCAGGGCAACCCACATGGATATGTTGTGGCACTGTATGTGGGGGAGGGGTCCAAGAGGAAACAATGCTGCTTGCTCAGTTCTTTGCCGCCTTTCAGTCACTTCCCCTGATAGCCACAAGCAAATTGGGCCCTTCTGGTGTTGATACCCAAGTGGGTGGTTTTGTGCACATTTTAGGCTCCTGTGGGTCTCTCCAATGAACTCTCCTGTGAGGCTGGAGTTTCTCCCACCACCACAACCCCAATGGTTTTTTTCAGTCAGAGATTTTGAGGCTTTTTTTCACCACACTGGAACCCTGAGTGGTGTGGTCTATCTCGCTCCCCAGTTGTTCCTCCCAGTTTATCCACACACAAATGTGGGGCCACCTAGTCCACCAACCAAAGCCCTACCTGCCCTGGTCTTCTGGCTGCTGCCTTACCACAAGTACCCACCACCCCAGACACCCATCTTTTTCCTTCTACTGGTCTGGATGAATGTTTCTTCTATAACTTCTTTGTTGTTAGAATTCCATACAGTTTGATTGTTCTGTCCATTCTGAATGTTTTTTGTTTTTAAATTTGTGGTTGTCCTTCTTTTGGTTGTGCAAGGAGGCACAGTGGATCTACCTACTGCCTCCATCTTGGCCAGAAATCTTCAATGTTTTATTGTTTTCATAGTAATAGCGTTTCACCTCCTTGGTTAAAATTGTCCCTAAGTATTTTATACTTATTGATGCAATTGGAAGAGGGATTGTTTTCTAAATTTCTTCTTATGATCATTTCTTATTGATGTGTAGAAACACAGCAGACTTTTGTATATTGATTCCGTATCCTGCAACTTTATTGATGTCATTCATTGGTTCTAATAGTTTGGGGGTAGAGTTTTTTAGGGTTTTCTAATATAATATCATGTCATCCTCTAAGGATGAGAGTTTTACTTCTTCCTTTCCAATTTATATTCCTTTTATGCCTTTGACTTTTCTCATTGCTGTGGCTAGAACTTCCAATACTGTGTTGAATAGAAGGTTTTAATAAAAACATTCCTGACATGTTTGTGAAAAGATATGTTTATAGTGGCTTTGATTGGAGCACTCTGGACATTTTCAATAATATATACGTTTGTCTGGTCCTCCATGCTTCCTTCTGTTCTGTCTTTGTTGACTGAACCAATTCCATTTATGATCTCTACTCAGAACCTCTTATTTTATACATGTTGATTCTTCACATTCTATCCTTCATGTATAAAATGTTACACCCTCCACCGGCACTTCAAAATCTTCATTACTATTTTATCACAGTATCTTTTCCCCCTAGGATGTTTGCAAAACAAAACAGATTTATGTGTGAGATTGCCTTCAAACACTTCAAAGAACGTAAGGTTGAGATTTCAGATGCAATAAAAACACCATTTCCTTTCCTCGAGACCCTTCATGACCGTGGATTCATCACCAATAAAGTGTATAATGTAAGTGAAGTTTATTATGTCACAATCTGGTAAACCAGCCCCACATTAGTTGTTTTGGTAGTTTGGAATCAAATGTCAGGGCACACAGAGACAAGTGAGGGGTCTCCTGTAAGTGGGGGTCTTCTCAACTACTCTTCCAAGTGTTCCTATAAGGTAAAAAGGAGAAGAAGGCATAATTGGAGGCAGTCATGCTCCTGACTGAAGGAATGGGACATTTTGGTGCCCCTTAGAGTCAAGGTGAAAAACACTGGAGATTGGTTGTATCTGAAAGCTACAGATACAGGGCCCTATAGGTGTATAATATAATGCCTTGTAGGTGTTAGATGTATAATATAGCATAAACTAGAGATTAAATGTATTTTTAATGACTGGGTGAATAACTTTAATCAACTGATTTAATAAAATAATTTACACAGCATTTTACTCCAATGAACATCAATTTAAATGCTTTGATCTGAGAACATTAAAATCCACAGAAAAATGAATACATTGTTAGGACAAAGTTCTAAGTAGTTACATGCCATTCTCTCTTAAACAGCTTTCAGTTTTCTTTTCCTTTGTTATTTCTGGAATCTTGAAATTTAGATAATTTTAGCAAAAGATATAGGTGGAGATACAAAGATGTGAATCTTCTCTTTCCCTATGAATAGGCTACTTTACAGTAAAGCTCACAGGAAGGGAAAAATGATCACCTGGCTTCCTTGAGCTTTGCCAAGCCAAGTTGGTCCTACATAAGGGACAAGTGTTTTTCACTCAATAGAACATCAGCCTATCACCTGCTCAGTCAATTCCTAAAACATTTTGCCAGGTTCTGAAAGGGCTACATATCATTTAACTTTGAACCAATTTTCATTCTCCATATTGCTCCTCCTTCCATCTAATATAAATGAGAGTGACAAGATCAGATGCACAAATGCATATTTTTAAGGAAAAAAGATTTACTTATTTGTAGCTATACTAATATGGGGAAATTTTAAAACTGTACATGAGAAGATACCTATGTAGGAGAATTGTAATACATTAAAATGAAATCACTTTCTAGGGCACTTCTGTAACTTAAAATTCTGTATTCATATTTCCCCATTCACTATTTTTTAAGGAGTCTAAAAAATCTTGTGAAAACCTGTCAGCTGTACCAAAAGTGGTGTATGCAATCCTCTATAACATGGAGGAGAGATGTCACCTGCCACTTCTGGAAATCTTGTTCAGCGAGTTCCTGATGAAGAGCTACCCTGATTTAAATGGCATTTGTGAAGGCTTCAGAGATGGTAATGAGGTTTATAGCCTACCTTTCAATGTCCATGGCAAATTTTTTTTGACAAATAGTTTGAGCATGTGTCACACATGATGTTGGTCTGAGGTGATATAAAAATTAAGAATACAGACATCATGAGCCTTCTTGAAGCTTTTGATATAGTGACTACAGTATAAAATACACCTGGAGGTCTGCTTACTAAGCATTTAAACTCCAAAAACAATCAGAGTCACAGTCACGTCAGATTTACTTCCAAGAACAAATGACAAGAACCACTGCATCTGAGTAAGGCACCATCAGTTGCTGCTCTTTTTTCATGTGTCCAAATAGAAGACCATCAAGTACCCTACTATCTGCCTCAGCTGACAGCTCAGCAGTGGGTGCAGGATCCACCTGGCTTAGCAGCACCAAGACCAGGGGAGTCAATGTCTCATGTAACAACTCTGTAGTCATTGCTTTCAGGGACCCCATTAGAAACAACTGAGTTACAGTTGTGGTGCTTCCTACAACTGTGGTGACAAGAGTCACCACATTGGAGGAAGACCAGCTACAGCTTATAATTTACATGGAGTCTTTCTGAGTCCAGTTATGGGTCATTTTTCACCCTAAACCCATTATTGATCTGGTAATACAGAAAAAAAAGACCACCTTCATCAGGTGTCCAGAGCAATGAGCAAGAAAATTAACCCAGGTCAAATTGGCCCTTAAACAAAGATAATAATGGCTCTATTAGCTCTTTCTCCACCAGGGGTAAGACAAACTAATCAAATAATCTCAAAATCAAATTCTCTGCCACAAACTGCGTTTGATACCACAAGAAAGTGTTTCATTCACCACTTTTTCCTGAGACTCACAATGTATAATTTCTAACTGTAGTCTGAATTTGTGGTTCAAACTGTCCAGCCAATAATTTTTTAATGATTGTCCCTCATTTTATTTTGTTCTTCCCATAATTTTTGTTTTGACTTGCCGGAAAAAAATTTATTTCAATGCAGTTTAGTATCCACCAAGGTCTCCAAATAACAATGGAGAATCCACAGGAAAAAGAATTATGTGCACTGAGTAGTGCAGATGATCTGGGAAAAGCACTTGGCTGGTGCACGGGTCTCACCTTTTTGGCAGCCTCCCAGGCCCTGGTACAGACCTCTTGAGATGTCCTCCAGGGCCACAATATTCACTCCCTCCTGGCAGCTTCAGAGAGTCTCCTGGGATCTGGGTCCCCTGGAGGTCTTTCTAGTTCTTCCTGTGTCCTCTGCTGTCTCTTTGGGAAGTGCTCATCCTCCCGACCCAGTAAACTCCACCCTTCACTTGACCACCTATTTATTTTAAGTTTCTGTGCTTTCACTTTTATACATGCAGTCACTCACAGGATCTTTGTCCTTCTCCCAAGTAAATTTCCATATTTTCCTTATAGTTTGAAGAGGTCAGAAAACACACTTCACTTCCATTTTTTATTTGACACAGGCTTTTCCAGCCATTTGTGCATTTCTTTTACATAAATAACAAGCCCATGATGTTTTCCATGACTCTTATCCTGACACTCAAGTGGTTCCTTTCTGTGTGGGTAACATAAGGGCTCCCTTTTGGAGGGTTCTCTTTTCTGTACCAAGTATGGTGTGGAACTTGACCATGAGGACTGGGACTCAGTGAATTCTGAGTGACCAGGTGGCTGAAAATTCCTAAATATACACATTTGAAATGATGTCCCTGAGCTGTGAGACAGATCTCTGACTTCTTTTCTCTCTCTGTTCAGTGATCCTAAAGGAAATTTGTGACCAAGCAAGTGTGAAAGAAGAGAGTACAGAGAACCCTATTATCCAACTAAGCCTTGAACGAGGTGATTGCAAATAAAAACTGTTTCTCTTCTGCTAAGAAGAAAAGAGAAAGGGAAGTGAGACCTGAGCTCTGAGTGGATTTTGGGAATCAGGAGAGAACGCCTGATGAAAATGGAAAATGCAGGGAAGAGTGTTTGTATGAGCATCTGAACAGAGGCCAACTTCTGAGGAGTAGTTGTAACAAGAGACGATGGGCTCAATAACCAAGACAAAGAAGCAGGAACCCAGTGTGTCAGGAAATGAGACTTAAAGACAGCTCTGACCTGGAAGTAATTATTATTTAAAAAGTCCCATGTAGGAGAAGATCAATGTGAAGCTACAAAGGGTTAGGAACTAAAGGCCCAAAGTCAACATCAAAAGCAGACATATTTAGTAATGGCAGATTAAGCAGCTGATTTAACTGTCAGGGATGTTGTATAAGAGTAGGAACATTGAAGGAGACAAGCAATCATAGAGAAAGAGAAAAGAAGAAATGAGAAGTTGTGGAGAAGGGAATAGGGCTATTTTGAGAGAGAGAAAGAAGAGAAAGGAAAGGTGGGAGAGGGGGAAAGGACACAATGAAACAACCATATTATTGAAAGCTTATTCAGTGAACATTTACTCTGGCAGTTGTAAGTTTAGTGCTCACTGCTACCCTTGGGTGGAAGTATCACCATGTGCCCATTTGCAGAAAAAAATCCAGAGAGACCATGTACGCAGTTGGCTTGGGGTCAAATGAGCAGGATGAACCCAGGCCTTCTGATCCCAGAGCCCATGTTCTAAACCCCGTATACTCCCAGATAAACTCATGGAAAGGACAGATACTTGAGACAAAAATAGGGAAATATATGCAGAGAGGAAGATACAAAAAGAAGAATACCAAGAGGTAGAGGAAGTGAAGGAAAATCAGTTGCTGAACTCTGATGAAAAGGCCCACAAATCAGAGTGAACAGACCTGCAGGGAGGGTGCATGTGAGGTGGGGTGGGGAGTCCAGTAAGACCACCAGTCTGGGGTAGCTCTGGAGACTAAAACAAGTTCCCTGTGGCTGTGGTTGAGAAGGCAAACAATCACTAGTTACTGAGTGGCTCATGGATGACATAGTGAGATGGCCTGACTGAGGCCGGGGGTGCAGGTCTACATTGATTCCTGGGGGAAGGGGTTGTCAAGTACTACACTTTAAAGATTAACATGGGACTGGAGGAGAATTGCATAGCCCACACTTCAATTCTGAAATAAGGTTCTAATCTCTTCCTTCAGGAACTGGTGAAAACTCATACCCATGCCTGTCCTGGCTCTTCCCAGATCAGTCCAATTACAAAGGTCTGTTCCTTCTGGCTGTTCTGTGATCCTTTGCTGTTCTTGTCCCTTTCTGCAATAGGCTGTGGTGGGAGGGCTGCTACTTTTTAGTACAGAGTGCTCAGAATTGTCCATCTTGTCATGTGTGTTGTCTCCAAAGATTTAGAAAACAGAGTCTTCATACACTGAGTTGCCTGGGAGGGTTGATCCTCTCCTTCTCACATGTGCTTGCTGCCAACTATTGACAGCTCTGGGATCTGTTGTCCATGTACCTGGCTTCATGGCCTCTGCATCTGTCTTGCTTGAAATAAGCTGTGGCCTGAGCTGATGATTTTCCATCCTGAGGTGGCCTGTCCTGCAGGAAAGAGGTCAGCAGTGATGACTGTGTTCCTTGGGGGAATAGTCCCTCATTTGCTGAATCCTTTACATAGTTCTATGGGTCTCCCATGCAAATATTCTTCCATCATCTCCAGTCCCTATCATAGCTTTCTATTTATTATTTTTGGGTTTCCCCACTCTTCCATTTGATTTTCTCAGCTCTTCCATCAGCTGTATAACTATAATTGTCTGGATTAAATTCCTTCTGCTCTACAAGGAGAGAATGATTTCTCTTTTCCTGCTGGACCCTGACTGATGTAGAAGGCAAGCAAAATATCTGTGATTTATCCCTGATTCATAGGTACAGCTCCACCTGACAATAGGCTCCCAGAGCACCTCACTAAAACGAAAGACATAAAAATGAAAACAAATATAATCAATGACAATGATGCACTGGAAAGCCAACAAGCAAATGAACAATGTGCCCAGGTGTCTGAGCCAGCAGGTAAGACTGAGTGGCTGGGATGGATGAGTGTAGAGGGGAACTGGCAGGTGGAGGGACTCCACATTGTGAATAAAGGCACAGGAGAGACTGTGGTGATGATTTGAATACTAGAAATGAAAAAAATATAAAGACAATGTTGATATGGAAGAGGCATTCATGGGTCACAAAACTAATTAAGAGACTGAAATAGAATAAGAGAAAGTAGGCAACATAGCTGAGAATGGATAAGCTGAAAAATCAGGTGGGGCAGCAGGGCCAGGTCTAGGGTGAGACACAAAGACCCTGGGATACACATAAGGAAGGGTTCACCCTCAGGACCTGTTGTGTTGTGTCTCGGGCCCCTCCTCTGCTTCATCTTAGATCCTGCTGGCCCTGGTGAACAATGATAAAAATATAAAGAAGTAATCTGAAGAGAGAAAAAACATGGAAATGAATATCAATAAATACAAAATGGGGAGGGGGGTGCAAAGAAAACTGTTGAAATGAGTAATGGACAGTGCATGAAGAACTGGCAGAGAGAGGACCAAGCATTGTCTGATTGGAGGAGACAGTCACCACAAAGAAGTCACAGGGGGCTGCTCCTCACACCACTGGGAAGGCGAGGTGTCCACAGTGATCAAAGTGGCCCTGGAACCCTCTCAGACAAAAATAGGCTGCTACTTTGAAAAGTTAAAACAAACTAAAACCCAAGTTAACAGAGGGTTTTTGAAATTAAAAACCCAAGTTAACAGAGGCCCAAAGGAAGGCCAGAGCTGAGCAGCAGGAAAGGAGAGGGTGGGGGAGCTCTCCCTGCAGTGAGATTACAGGGAGAAGGGCTTAATTGTAGGGAGGGTGCATACTTCCTTTGGGGAGACAAATGAAATTCTTCATTTATTTCATTTGGTCCAGGAGTGGAGCTACCCCACCATGGAATCCCAGTGAATCCCTTCTGTTTACATCTGAAGGACACAATGAAGGAAACGCCATTTTTTAATTCAGGAAGTGAATGGAAAGCACAAGCAAGGAGTGGTGGTAACCAGGAGTCTGACATAATAGGTAAGGCTGACTGAAAGAATGTGCGATGTGAATCTCCGTACCAGGTGGGGGTCTCAGGCACATCATCGGGCCCATGGAGACTGTCCTAGTGGCCTGGGTTAGAGGTAGGAAGTGGAGGGGACCAGCACCTTATCCAGCTAGCTCAGGAGAAAAATGTCCCCAGTAATTGGAAAAATATGTAAAAAAGAAATGGTTAATTTAAGTATTGATATCAGAGAATATTTTTCTATATTCAAGGGAAATAATTCAGAGAGCCAAGATATTCGTGAAAAGAGATAAAAATAAAAGGAAGAGGTATGAAGAGATATCACTGTCAGAAACAGGTATAATTAGAAAAAATAGACTGAAGCAAGAGGGAAATGGAGAATTAAAATAAGAATGAAAGAAAGAAGTAGAATGGGGTGGGTAAGTAATAGAGAGCAAAGGTTAGAGGTGGAATGAGGGTGGAGGTAGGAGACAGGGTGACTGTGGGGCAAGAAGAGCTCCAGGATGGGCACAGCTGCCCTCTGTGCCTGAACCTCACCACCGCCTGTATAGGACCTGGAGCAACCTGCAGGTCACACACAGTAGAGCACAGACCATGGTAATCTCAGTTACCTTCTAGGTCCTCCTAGTGCTGTCTTAAGGGTTTCCTGTCTGTGGGATCCTTGAGACCCTAAGGAGTTTGCTCCTCTGTACAGAGATCAGCAGTGATGAGTCTGCAGAATGCAGAAACAGAGAAGAGCCTCCTGAAGCTTCCACCTCAGCACTGAAAAGAAAACCAGGTAAGGAGGTGGGAGCTCAAGGCTTGGGCTGCAGGAACTTGAATTAACAGATAGTCTTTCCTGAAGCATCTATTCTGAGTTCATTCTGCACCAGGGATACAGTTTATTCTGGAATCCCTTTTTCTGCACTTATTTTACTTGACCTTTGGGAATGTGCAAGGTAATAAGACTATTGTATTTACATTTTTGAAGATGAGGTCTATTAATTTATAGGTCTTCTTAATCAACCTATCATCTAACTATTGATTATATAGTAGAAATAGACTAGCAAAGTAATGAATTTGTTTGAAAACTAAATCTATGACTATAAAGTGTTGGTTTGGATTTTTATAGTGGTTTCTGGAGAGAAAGGAAAGCTAAGTGTTTCTTTATTGGAAGGTCATATTGTCATCAGGTCACAAACTTTGAACAGTGTCAAGGGCCAGTTCCTTCAGTTATCTAGTGTGAGCAGATAAGGCGTTGATAATAGATGAGGTATTTTGACACCCAAAGTATTGTTTTTGACAGAGTTCTTCAGCAAGTTATGAACATATAGTAACTTTTCAAAGGATCTTTGCACATAGTGTCTTACTTTTTCCTTTACAGCAACCCTGAGGGGTAAGCAGGGTGGACAGTGTTACTCTTGTTTCTAGATGAGCAAACACAAACACATAAATGTTTCAAGGTCTTCCACAAAGTCTCATGGAGAAAAAGGGAAAGATAAAACTAGCATCCTGGATGCTGTATTATTTCCATTGCAAAACTGGAGCTCAAAACAGTTACCAAAATGTGGTTTCCTCAATCCTGTGTGCAGCATGCGTAATCGTAAGATCTGTAGCTCTTTAGTGCACAAATCAGAGATTGGTTTTCCCTTCTCACTTTCTCAGTGGATATTGGAAATACGTCTACTTAGGAAAACACCTTAAAACAAGATCTAAAAACAAATAAAAATGTTATCTGCTCTTGATATTATAAAAGACTAATGTTGCACATAATACTTCTTACTCAAAACCTCTGAAGCCACACGTAAAATAATAATGTTTTATTATTTTAGAAGTGCACTGTGGTTTATATCCTGTTTGTTACAAAAGACCCTAACAGTGCGTGGGGCAAAATCTTATTCTCAAATACATTAATGTTTCTGCAACAAATTCTGTGAATTCAGACCAAGTGTGATAAGTTATAGATTCTACATGGACTCATGGCAGCCAAGTCCAGCTTCCCTGCCAAGTGAATTAGCTGCAAACCTATGAAAAAAATATTGGTTTTCAAGACTTCTTTGGTCCTGCATATGGGATAAAGAATTGTGAGTCTTTGCTTCATTTTGTAGCAATCTCACTCCTTCAGATGAGAAGAGACAGAAATGATCATCACCATATCTTTATATTCCAAATCCTTCAACAATGTGAAGAGTCATAAGATTTACCACTCCTTCAGTTATAGAATATTGGCTGTGTTTTCCTTTGCTTCCAAATCCTGTGGACATTTAAAAAATGCCTATTTAGGGAATAGGCAATCAGAAAAAACCTAAGAGCAAAGATAACTAATAACTTTCTCTGTTACAAAAACTTTATTCAAGTATTCTTGTTTTTTCCTTTAAATAAAAATAGTAATTTGTTGGGCTTTTAGATGATACACAATAAACATTATGCGTTCGGTGAGCTGCTGATTGGTATAAAAGGTCAACGGCACAAGTGCATTTGTATGCAATGAAAGATAAAGTAGTTGTGTCACTTTTGGGGGACCCAGCTGAGGGGGCACTGACATCTCACAAAAATCTTAAGACCTGGACAAGATGAATATCTGTTACAGTCCCTGCATAAACTGAAGTTTAAGGTATAACAGAGGTATTTAAGGTATATTTCAAAGTCATATTGAGAAATAAAGCAAGACCCAGGGCCCATTCCAGACTCCTATGTCTCATTTCAGTAGGTATTTTGATCCTTTAGAAGAAAGAGAGAAACAAGAAATCAAACATCCTTATACTCGTATACTAGGTCACCTTCAGTAACAATCATCCTAAGATCTGTAACTTCTATTTGTTCATTTCTGTTTTCTCACCACTGCCTGTTATTTTCTAGGTTTCATGGATCTTGGAAACAACTCTGCTTTACAAAAACCTAAGAGAAGAAGAAGTAAGAGTGAATAAAACTTTACTTACTTTCAATGTGATAAATGAGATTTTAAACACCAGAGTTTCATCATTATTATTTTTTTACAATATTGTGGTAGGTAGAATTATGTCTCCTCAAAGATGTCTATGTCCTAATCCCTGGAACCTGTAATCTGTTACCTTACCTGGCGAGTGGACTTCACAGATATAATTAAACTAGGGACATTGAGATTAGGGAGATTTTCCTGGATTACCTAGGTGGCTCCAATATACTCAATAGCCCTTAAAAAGTGGAAAGCCTTTCTTGGCTGTTGAGAGAGGAAGAAGTGATTATGTAAGAATGGTCAGAGAGGTGCAATATCACTGGCTCTGCAAATGGAGGAGGCACTAGAGAGTATGGGTGACCTTAAGAAGCAGGAAAAATCAAGGAAGCAGATTGTGAAACCCCAAAATAGTTATATGATTTTATAGGGAAGATCTGTGGAAGAAACTTTGCTCTAATGGTACAAATCCCTGTGACATTCATGGGAGAACTATAACGTTCTTGAGAATTTTATATCAACAGATACAGAGCTGTCCATGTGTAATTCCTGAAACCTGCAATCTGTTTCTTTTTTTAACTATTTTTATTGTTGACACTATTACAGATGTCCCCATTTCCCACCTTTATCCACTTCCATCCAGCGCCCATCCTCCTTCCCTCTGACCATCACCACACTGTTGTGTGTGTCCATGTGTTATGTATATGTGTTCGTTGGGTAATCCCTTCCCCTTCTTCCACCCAGTCCCTTTATCCCCTCTCCCATCTGACAGCTATCAGTCCATTCCATGTATCCCTGCTTCTGTTTCTATTTTGTTTTTCAGTTAATTTTGTTCAGTAGATTCTACATATAAGTGAGATCATATGGTATTTGTCTTTTTTCTAACAGGCTTATTTCAATTAGCATAATAATCACTACGTCCATCTATGCTGTCCCGATAGGTACGATTTTCTTCCTTTTTACAGCCATGTAGTATTCCATTGTGTAAATATACCACAGCTTGTTTTTGGTTTATCCTTCATTTAACTTTTAAAACACTACTATAGTTGAATATTAAAATAAAACAGGGGCAAGTAATGAGCACATAATGATTATAGTCCTTCCCACATTCACTACTGTGTATAAAATGCCAGCAGTGAGTGTTACTCACTGGCCAAGTGAAGAAGTCTGACACTAAGCACCACCACTAGGATGAGGCTCATCATCCTCACATGCTTCTCCATTGTAATGGCACCATCTTCCTTTCTTCAGTGTCCTGTAGTTTTCCAAGTGCAGGCCTTTACCTCCTTGGTTAAGTATATTCCTAGGTACCTTATTTCCTTTGTTTCAGTAGTAAATGGGATTATCTTCTTACCATAATTTCTGTTTCTGGTACTTCATTTTTGGCATATAAAAATGCCACTGATTTCTGAATATTAATTTTGTATCCTGTTACTTTTCCAAATTCATTTATTAGATCTAGTAGATTTTTAGTGGAGTCGTTAGGGTATTCTATTTACATTATCATGTCATCTGCAAGTAATAACAGTTTTACTTCCTCCTTTCCAATTTGGATGTCTTTTATTTCTTCTTGTCTGATTGCTGTGACTAGGACTTCCAGTAACGTATTGAATAAGAGTGGTAGAAGTGGACATCCCTGTCTTGTTCCTGATCAGGGAAATGTTTTCAGTTTTTATCCATTGAGTATGATGTTGGCTGTAGGTTTTTATATATGGCCTTTATTATCTTGAGGCATGATCCCTCTATTCCCACTTTGCGGGAAGTTTTATCATAAAAGGGGTTTAATCATAAATGGACTTTATTGAATGCTTTTTCTGCATCTATTGATACCATCATATGGTTTTTATCCTTTATCTTGTTTATGTGATATGTCACATTTATTGATTTGCAAATATGTACCAATCTTGCATCCCCTCAATAAATCCCACTTGATCATGATGTATGATCTTTTTCATGTATTGTTTGATCTGGTTTGTGAATCTTTTGAGAAGAGTTTTTTTAAGATTTCACTTATTTACATTTAGAGAAGGGGAGAAAGGGGGAGAAAGGGCTGGGGAGACCAATCAATGCAAGAGAGAAACATCAATGGGTTGCCTCTTGTATGTGCCACAGCCAGGAAATGTACAACTCAGGCATGGACTCTGACTGGGAATCAAAATAGCAATCTTCGGCTTTGTGGGACAATGCTCAACCAACTGAGCCACTCTATTTAGGGTTTATTGAGGATTTTAGCATCTATGTTCATCTGGGATATCAGCCTATAATTTTCTTTCTTGTAGTTTCTTTATCTGCTTTTGGAATTAGGATAATGCTGGCATCATAAAAAGAGCTGGGAAGTCTTCTTTCCTCTTGAAATTTTTGGAATAGTTTGAGAAGGATGGGTATTAGTTCTTTTGTGAATTTTTGGTAAAATTTGCCTGTGAAGCCATCTGGTTTGGAACTTGTATTTGCTGGGAGTTTTTTGATTACTGCTTCAATTTCATTTGTTGTAATCAGTCTGTTCAGGTTTTCTGATTCTTCCTGATACAGTTTTGGAAGATTACATGTTTCTAGGAATTTATCCATTTCATGAAGGCTATCCAATTTGAAGGTATACAGTTTTTCATAGTATTTTTTTTTTGCAATCCTTTATATTTCCATGGTGTCAGGTGTTACTTCTCTTTTGTTTCTGACTTTATTTGAGTCCTCTCTCTGTCTCTTTAGTTTGTCTTTTCAAAAAGTCAACTGTTGGTTTCACTAATCTTTTGTATTGTTTTTAGTCTCTGTGTCATTTATTTCTGCCCTGATCTTTATTATTTCCTTCCTTCTACTTACTCTGGGCTTTGTTTGTTGTGGTTTTTCTAGTAGTTTTATTGAGAGGATTAGGTTGTTTATGTGAGAATTTTCTTGCTTCTTGAGATAGGCCTGTAATGCTATAAACTCCCCTTTCAGACTGCTTTCAATGTGCCCCATAGACTCTGGGTTGTTGTGTTACATTCTCATTTGTTTTCAGGTAGTCTTGATTGCTTGCTTGATCTCAATGGTAAGCCATTCATTGTTTAATAACATACTATTTAGCTTCATGTGTTTTTCAGTTTTTTTATTGTAGTTGATTTCTAGTTTCATAGCATCATGGTCAGAGAAGACGCTTGATATGATTTCAATTTTCTTAGACACTTATTTTGTTTCCTGACATGTGGTCTATCTCTGAGAATGTTCCATGGGCACTTGAGAAGAATATATATTCTAATGCTTTGGAATGAAATGTTCTGCGAATATAAATTAAATCCATGAGATCCAGTGTGTCGTTTAAGGCCACTGTTCCTTGTTGATTTTTTTGTCTGGAAGATCTATCCATTGGTGCAGTGGGGTGTTAAAATCCCCTACAGTGAGTGTATTGCTACCAATCTCTCCTTAATGTCCACCAAGATTTTCTTTATATATTTAGGTGCTTCTATATTGGGTGCATGTATGTTTACAATGGTTATTTCCTCTTGTTGACTCAAATTCTTTGATATTATGAAGTCATCTTTCCTGACTCTTGTTATGGCCTTTGTTTTGAAGTTTATTTTGTTAGATATAGTAATGCTACCCTAGATTTTTTATTTGATTATTTGTTTCCATTTATGTGGAATATTTTTTCTCCATCCCTTCACTTCAGCCTGTGTGAATCTTTTGTTGCTAGGTGGGCCTCTTGTAGACAGTATATGTGTGTGTGTGTGTGTGTGCGTGTGTGTGTGTGTCCATGTATATATCCAGACACACTGGATCTCATGGATTTAATTTATATTTGCAGAACATTTCATTCCAAAGCATTAGAATATATATTCTTCTCAAGTGCCCATGGAACATTCTCAGAGAGAGACCACATGTCAGTATATATATATATGTATATATACTGTCTACATGATGTTTTCTTATTCATTCAGCTACGCTATGTCTTTTGATTGAAGCATTTAACCCATTTACTTTTATGGCTATTAATGATAGGTACTTATACATTTCCATTTTTTCAAATACTTATGTCTCTATTTCTTGTTCTTATAGCAGGCCCTATAACATTTTTTGCAATTGTTATTTGTTGGTAATGAATTCCTTAACCTTTTTTTGTGTGGGAAGCTCTTTATTTTGCCTTTAAATTTACATAATAGCCTTGCTGGATAGAGTAGTGTTGGTTGCAGGTCCTTGCATTTCATCATTTTGTATACTTCATGCCAATGCCTTCTGGCCTAAAGTGTTTCTGTTGAGAAGTCAACTGACAGCCTTTTGGGAACTCCCTTGTAGTTCATTAAAACTAGCACTCTTGCTGCCTCTAAGGTTTTCTCTTTGTCTTTAATTGTTGGCATTTTAATTATAATGTGTCTTGGTGTGGGTTTTTTGGGGGGTTCATCTTGGTTGGTACTCTCTGTGCTTCCTGAACTTGTGTGACTTTTTCCTTCACCAGACTGGGGAAGTTTTCAGCCATTATTTCTTCAAACAGGTTCTCTACCCCTTGCTCACTCTCTTCTCTTTCTGATGCCCTTATGATGCAGATGTTGTTACACTTGATGTGTTCCAGAAGTTTCTTAAACTTTGCTCATTTAATTTAATTCTTTTTTCTTTTTTGATACTCTGTTTGGGTGCTTCCTGTTATTTTTGTCCTCTAAATCACTGACTCATTCCTCTGTGTTATCTAACCTGCTGTTGATTCCTTCTAGTGTATTCTTCACTTCAGATAAATGCAAATATTCTGTTAGTACATTGAGAATTAAAAATGGATATCTGGAACACAATATAAAAATTGACTTCATTAATTCTTTAAAATCTGATGAAAGTCCCTTGGAATCTAATTCATGATCAATATTTATAAATATTTTATGTCTCTTTAAAATAATGTGCATTTGAACTATTTGGGGGATCTGGCTTTTCCCATAAACAATCTCTTCATGAAGCAAAGCTTTGTTGTTTAAACCTCCTGGATACACAGTAAATTAGGTTGTATGTGTTCCATCATGTCATATACAGATGTATTAAATTCTCCTACTTGATTATGTATTTGAAAAGTCCTTCTTGTTCTGTGTTTTTACCTAAAATACTTTGAGGCTATTCCTGACTGTTACAACTTAGATAATTTTTTTTCTTTTACAACTACAGTGTTTTTCTTTATGCCTCTTAATGCTTTTTGCTTTGAAACCTTTACTCAGGGTGCTAATATTATTACATTTGTTTTATGTTTTATGTTCACTTTTATTAAGTCTTCCTCTACGGTTTATGTTTTTTATAATGACATTTAGTGTTTTGTAATCTTTTCTGATAATTATAATCTTTTAATAGTTAAGTTTATTTATTGCTTTTATTATGATTCCTATTATGTGTGGACTTATGTATTGTATTTTCTTGCTATCCATTCCATTTGTATGTTTTTATGTCTTTTTCCTGCATACTGATTGATTGAGAGGTACAGTTCCATATTCCACCTTTTTTCTCTGCTGCTTTGGCAAATGGAGATAAGATTTCTGTAATCTTTTTAACTATGCCCTAATCTCAAATGATGCCAAGGATCTCAGCATGAATTCTCTCAAATTGAACATCCCATCTCCATCATTAAGCTATTGTTATTTAACACTTTGTTATTTTCTTTTAATTTTAAATTTTGAAACTATTATCTTTTGGCGTCAATATTTATTTAAATGATGTTTTCATTTTTATATACACTTATCATTGTTTCATTCCTTTGGTTTTACTTTGTGTCTAGTGGAATTAATACCTGGTTATATTAATGGGTTGTCTATGTGGCAAACCTGCCAGTGCTGTATGTGCAAGTTTGCCTTCAATTTGAAAGAATTTTTAAACAAAAATTTTTCCTCAGTATGCCAATATGATTACTGACTGGTCTTTTAGAATCTGCTGTGTGGCTGATGAATGCTTTTTTGGATTTTTAACTGTCGCCTTTTGGTTAATAGCTTCTTTTCTTGCCAAAACATTATTTTTCAACTATCAAAGTATGAAAATGTTAAGGCTACTAAAAACCTGAAATATTTTACCATAAACATCAAAATATTTTCCCATCAATGCAAAATTAACACTCACTGTTCTTGCTTTATCACATTTCTGTCCATCTATCCATTTCCCTATCCATCCCTCAGGTTTGAAACATTTCCATCTACAGGCATCAGTACATTTCTCTCCAATCCCTTCAGCATGCATAGTATCAACTAGACTGCAATAGTTTGCAGTGTTTTTCTTCATCTCTTGACATGAAATTTATAATGAGATACACAAATATTAAGAGCTATGCCTAAAGTATTCTCCTTGTAAAATCCAATCTTTATGAAGATGCAGAACATGACCATCACCCTGGAACATAAGGAGCTCTCCCCTGGGGAGAGGAGGGACAATCAACTATCCCGAAATATTTCAGGGGTGAGGTGTTCTCTATTTTATATTGATCAGGTAACAACACTAACTTTAGCTTGCAATACTGTTTCTTAATCAAAATTCCTTGAAAAGATACCATGAGGCACATGGAAATGCCACAGAAAATGACCTCCCAACAGGTTCGCCCCACCCAGCAGAGTCTGGCAGTGTTCCTAGGAGGACACCACTCCACCAGCCACTCTGATTAATATCACCAAGAGAGGCTGAGCCCCAATCCATTCAGTTGTTTCCTGCAGCTTTTACCAAATTCCTTCTACCACAATTGCTTTAGGATCCTGTGATCACTCCTATGGTGCAAGTCACCATGTTTGCATGAGAGAGACAAGTGAACACAGTGTCCTGAAAGGGAAGTATTCACCACTGTCGAGGTCTATCAGGATGTGTATATACATCAGTTGGCAGGTGGGGGGACAGGCATGTCCTCTAGTCTGGGCCACTGGCCAGCTATAGGTCTTAATGAGTTTTTGCTTCTGTTCATTGTTTCTAGTCTTTGATGTGGCAGGATGGAGGGAAGGTCACTGCCTGAAGACAGTCTATCCAATCTGCCTCCTATGTTCATGACACCAGCCAGGTCACATTTGTTCTTTTCACAACCCTCCACTGAATGACTAAGAATCTGTGTGGGGACATTGCCCAGAGACATTCTGCATGGGATTTCAGATGCTGACACCAGCCCCTGTTTCCTTGGATCAGGTGCTGAGTGGCAGACTCAGCATCCCTGTGATGAAAGACCTGGACCAGGTGGTTTCATTCTCTAAGGAGGACTCAGGGCAGCTCTGAATGACAGATATCATTAATGCCTCTCTACCTCCCCTACTTCCTAGATGTTTCCTCCTCAGGTTCCTGGATCTTTGTTATTCTTTCACTGTTACAAAACCTGTGTATACTATTACTCACTCAGATATTTCACCCAGAAGGGTCAGACACAAGAAGGGTGAAGGCATTTCTTTAAAAGATCACCAAAATTAAATCTGAATCATCTGGGTACTCCAATGACTGCACCTTCTGCATTGTTTGGGGAAAGGATGAGGCATTACCAGCAAGGATCAAAACAGAATCCAGCATTTTCAGAATTGGTCTCTGTAACACCATTAATCTGCCTCCCACTTTGTCCTAATCACCATGCAGGAAGGAGCTGATTTATTTCTGCCTTCCTTTGGGACAGCTGCACTCAATGTCCAAAGAGCCGTAACAGGGAAGTGTGTGGACAGGAGGAGATGAGGTCATAGGCTTAGATGATCAAGAGCACTGGGTATATCTTTTGATAAAGGGCACACAATTATCAGACTACAAATGATCTGGCCAGCCATGCAATTTCCAGATTGGCTACAGCTTTGTGGGCTCCCCTTTCAGCTCTGGAGAAGGCTAATGTGGGGGAGAAATGAGGCAAAGCAGTGAACACAAACAGGAAGCAGACATCATCTCCACTAGGTCACTCCATCTTTGTCTTCCCTGCTCCTGAGTCAGAGCTCACACAGGAAGAGGTAGGTACAGTCTTGGACTTTGCCTCCAGTGACCTTAGTTCAGGAAAATAGCACAGCTGCAGAGCTTCCTTTACCAGGACAGCAGATGCATGAGTCACTGCCCCATAAGAATCAGGGGGCTGACTACATGGGGAGCTAAGACAGTTGTGCTGACGCCTGGTGTCTCTGTTAAAGCATTCTGATTGTGCAGGGTTTGAGAGGTGTAATGCAGGTAGACTTTCTGTGGTTATGTACCAACAATGTCACTGAAAGAATGGCTCTGAAACTCTGGAGATTTGTGGAATAAAGTTTTCCAACTGTATGACTTTGCAGAAATGACTTGAGCAGGGCAGGGGAGTTGTCCTTGTGCAATTGTGAAATGAGACAAAATGGAAATTTTTCTCTTTCAGGGGCAAGACAGCAGCCAGGTGTGTTTGTGAATTTTCGTGCTCAAATACTTCGTGTGGCCTGTGGGGAGATGAAGGGGCTGTTAATTAGGAGGAAATTGGAACGAGGTAGGTCTCAAGGTTTACTTTAATTTGCAACCCCTCTGTGAAGGAACCACATGAAGTAATGGAATGACCCATGTGAATTTCCTGTCATTCAAGGAACTGAGGCCCCACTATGGCTTGAAAGAAGAAGGAAGGACCCCTAAGATAATATTTTTACACTTTAAGCAGTGGAGCATATGCAGTACTCCCCCCTCATGGAAGTGCCCATGAGGATGCCCAAAGAAACAAAGAGAAGTACAGGAATGTCTGTCTCAGGGTTCAAAATACTGCATTTTTTTTTTACTTTGAATCAAATATAACAGGGAAGAGGCCCTCAGCCTCCATGTTTACATCCTGTATCCCATCTGGGTAATCACTACTAGAAGAGGCTGTTAGATGTAGTGAGATCACAGAGTTTAGAGTCAGAAAACCTGATCCCAGCCTCAGCTCTGCTGAGAGTGACAGTGTGAAGACTGGGACCTTCCTGAGCCTGAAACTTCCCATCTAAGAAATGGATAATAATTACAAGTCTGGCCTCCTCCTGTACTTTGAGAGTGCATTTACATATGAATATAAAGTGGTTTTGATTTTAACGTTAAAAACCTTTTTAATTATTATCTATATGATGAACTTCATATCAGATTATTTTAATACAGCTATAAGAACACTAATATAAATAAATGTTTCATCTTAAGTATTTTTTGAACAGGTTCACTGAGATATAACTCAAATATACAATTCACTGTTTAGAGTGTAGAGTTCAATGTTGAGTTTTTTGTTTGTTTGTTTTGTTCACTCACAAGATTATAAAACTATCATCACAATCTAATTTTAGAACACTCTGACCTCCACTAAAGAAAACCGGATGTCTCTTAGCTGTTAAAGAACATTTTTACCTTAGGCCATCACCCATCCAATGCAACCACTAATTTACTTTCTGATTTATAAGTGGGTTTATTTAAGCATTTTAAATCAATCAATTCATATAATACCTGCCTTTCTGTGACTGGTTCCTTCACTCAATGTGATGTTTTCAAGGTTCATACATATAGTACCATGTATTTTACTTCATTCATTTTATTGTCTTATAATATATTAAGTCATGGTATGCATATATAAATTGCATTTATCTTTCAGTTTGTTTCTCATGGATAATACTGTTTTGTGTAAAGTTTTTGTGGACATGTTTTTAAAATTCTTTTTGATATATACACTGGAGTGGAATTGCAGGATTATATGTGATTCTATGTTTAATTTATTGAGGAAAAAAACAAACTATATTTTTTATTATTTAGAAAAATTATATATGTGTGTTTAAGATTATATATGTGTGTTTGTGTGTTTAAGACTTTATTTGTTTATTTTTAGAGAGAAGAAAAAGGAGGGAGAAAGGCAGGGAGAGAAACATCAATGTGTGGTTGCCTCTTGTATGCCCCCTACTGGGGACCTGGCCTGAAATCCAGGCATATGCCTTGACTTATCTATTGAACCGGCAACCTTTTGATTTGCAGGCCAGTACTCTACCACTGAGCCACACCATTAGGAAAGATTTTTTTTTAATTTAAGGTTGTTCAGTTATAGTTGTCCTGCCTTTTTCCCTATTTCTTTCCCTTACCCCATGCCCCCCATACCCACAGTTAATTCCCTCCCATTCTCTGCATCCATGAATCTTCTGTTCATGTTCCTTTGCTTGTCTATTCCTCTTTTTTCCCCATCATCTGCCTCCCCCACCCCACTTATCACTGTCAGTTTATTCCTTATTTCCAAGTCTTTGGTTCTATTTTGCTCATTTCCTACTTTTGTTGATTAGGGCCCACATATGGGTGAGATCATATGGTGTTTGTCTTTTCACCACCTGGCTTATTTCACTTAACGTAATGCTCTCCAGCTCCATCCATGCTGTTGCAAAGGGCAGGAGTTTCTTCTTTCTCTCTGCTGCTGCATATTTCATTGTGTAAATGTACCACCTTTTTTGATCCACTAATTTACTGATGGGCAGTTAGACTGTTTCCAGTACTTGGCTATTATAAATAACACTGCTATGAACATTGGGGTGTATAGGTTCTTTTTCATTAGTGTTTCAGGGTTCTTAGGATATAATCACAGCAGTAGTATCACTGGATGGGAAGGCAGTTCTATCTTCAGTTTTTTTAGGAAATTTCATACTGCTTTAAACAGTGGTGCACTAATCTGCATTCCCCCCAACAGTGTGGTACCTGGGTTTCCTTTTCTCCACAACCTCACCAGCACTTGTTTGTTGATTTGTTTGTGATGGACATTCTGACTAGTGTGAAATGGTATCTCATTGTGGTTTTAGTTTGCATCTCTATGATAACTAGTGATGCTGAGCATCCTTTCATATGTCTCTGGGCCCTCTGTATGTCCTCCTTGGAGAAATTCAGGTCCTTTGCCCATTTCGTAATTGCATTATTTGTCTTCCTGGTGTGAAATCATGTCAGTTCTTTATATATTTTGCAGATCAAACCCTTGTCTGAGGTATCATTGGCAAATATGTTTTTTCATATGGTTGGTTCCCTTTCCACTTTGTCGATTTTTTTTAGCGGTGCAGAAGCTTTAGTTTGATGTAGTCTCATTTGTTTATTCTTTCCTTTATATCCTTTGCCTTACAGGATATATCAGTGAAAATATTGCTGCATGGTATATCTGACATTGTCCTGCCTGTGTTTTCCTCTAGGACTTTTATGGTATCATAATTTATATTTAATTCTTTTATCTATCTTATCTTGAGTTTATTTTGGTGTATGGGATAAGTTAGTAGTCTAGTTTCATTTTTTTTGTACATATTTGTCCAGATCTCCCAACACCATTTATTGAAGAGGCTGTTTTCACTCCGTTTTATGTTCCCACCCACTTTGTCAAATATTAACTTACCATAGAGACATGGCTTTATTTCTGGGCTCTCTATTCTGTTCCAATGATCTATGTGTCTTTTCTTATATTAGTACCAGACTGTATTGATTACAGTGGCCTTGTAAGATAGTTTGATATTATGTATTCTGATCCCTCCTTTTTTGTTCTTCTTGCTCAAAATTGCTGAGTCTATATGGGGTCATTTTCAGTTCCATATACACTTTTGAAATATTTGTCCTATATCTGTGAAATATGTCACTGGTATTTTGATAGCGATTTGCACTGAATCTATAGATTGATTTAGGTAGTATAGACAATTTAATGATGTTAATTCTTGCAATCCATGAACACGGTATATGCTTCCATTCATTTGTGTCTTCCTTAATTTTTTTTTTCAGCATTCTGTAGTTTTCTGAATACAGAACTTTTATTTCCTTGGTTAAGTTTATTCTTATGTATTCTATTTTCTTGTTCCTATCATAAATGCGATTTTTTCTAATTTGTTTTTCTGATATTTCATTGTTGGGGTACAAAAATACCTTTGATGTATGAATGTTGACTTTGTATCCTGCCATTTTGCCAAATTCATTTAATAGGTTAAGTAATTTTTTGGCGGATTCTATAGGGTTTCTGTATACACTATCATATCATCTGCAAACAGTGATAGTTTTGCTTCCTCCTTTCCAATTTAGATGCCTTTTATTTCTTTGTCTTGTCTAATAGCTGTGGGTAGAACTTCCAATACTATATTGAATGGAAGTATTGAAAGCAGATACCCATGTCTGGTGCCTAATCTTAAGGGGAAAAGTTTTAGTTTTTGCCCATTGAGTATGATGTTGACTATAGGTTTTCATATTTGGCCTTTATTATGTTGAAGTATGCTCCCACTATTCCTACTTTGCTGAGTGTTTTTAACATCATAAATGGATGTTGTAGTTTATCAAATGCTTTTCAAATATCTGCAATGTAATCATGTCTCTTTCATATTGTTTAAGTGATACATTACGTTTATTGATGTGTGTATATTGTACCATCATTGTATCCATTGGATGAATCCCATTTGATCATGGTGTATGATCTTTGTAATGTATTGCTGGATCTGGTGTGCTAATATTTTGTTGAGGATTTTAGCATCTGTGTTCACCAGCAGCCTGTAGTTTTCTTTCTTTGTTGTGTCTTTATCTGGTTTTGGAATTAGGATAATACTGGCTTCATAAAAAAAAGCTTGAGAGTCTTCTCTCTTCTTGCATTTGAGAGAGAAAAACAAACAAACTATTTTCTACAGCACTGTACCAGTTAATATTCCCATCACTAAAATCTGAGGGCTCCAATTTCTCTGCATTCTCACCAACACTTGTTTTTTTCTGTATTTTTCATTATGACTATCCTAGTGCTTATAATGTAGTATCTCATTGTGGATTTGATTTCCTTTTATCTAATGATAATGTTGTTAAGTATATAACTATCTTTCACATATAAGTTAAATTGTCTCACCCTGGCTGGCGTAGTTCAGTGGATTGAGCACAGGCTGCGAACCAAGGTGTCGCAGGTTCGATTCCCAGTCAGGCTACATGCCTGGGTTGCAGGCCATGACCTCCAGCAACCACACATTGATGTTTCTCTCTCTCTCTCTTTCTTCCTCCTTTTCCTCTCTAGAAATAAATAAATAAAATCTTTTTAAAAAGTTAAATTTTCTGCTGATTAATATTTCATAATTACTTTAAAATCAACTACCCAAAATTTCAAGGAAGGAAAATATCTGCTCAATGATGACGGTAAACTCAAAGAAAAGTGTTGTAACAGGGATGTTGCCTTAAGTTACTGTGAACAACAGGGCCCCCACTTGAGATTTTAATTCAAAGCAGCAAGTCTCCTTGGAGGGAACTTACAGACTAGGTTTGGGGGTTCTGCAGCATGAAAGGGGAGGTCAGACTCTCCTGCTTTTGATCTTGAACCCAGATTGGGTGACATCAGTTCCAAAGTGGTGGGAGGCCAACCTCTGAGCTCTGAGGACAAAGAGGTGTCAGCATCAACGTACCCTGGTCTTACAGGAGCCACAAGGAAGTGCATAAGAACTGAAGATGGAAACTGGTTCACTCCCAGGGAATTTGAAGTCAGAGGAGGCTACGAAAAAGCAAGTAACTGGAAGACCAGCCTGACCTGCAGTGGAAAAACCCTAAAACAGCTGATGGAGGTATTTCAGTGACAGGGGCAGGAGGTGTGACTTTCCTTGTTGTGGTTAAGGATGTGGTCACTATTTGCTCACCCAGTGTATGCTGAGTGGTAGCTAGAGCCCAAAGACCCCTGGTTTTAAACTTTCCCCAGGGGAAAGCTCCCTACACTCATACCTCAGTACAAGGTAGCACATCAGTTTTTCAAAGGGGCTCTGCCGGGGTGGATGTAGGAGCTTGGAGGAAGGAAAGGTCACTCTGACCCAGGTGCTGGCAGACAACTTTAGGTACTGAAAGAAAGAAGGCTGTCTGCAGTCAAACAAGTAGCAAAAGACACTCTAGAGAAAAATTGTGTAAAAACCAGAACCATGAATAAACATGACTCCATAGGTTGAGGTAGATGGACTGTGTATGAAACAGCACAATCCATTGATTTGGGATATTTGCAGAAGGATTTAATGTCAGGCTAAGGAGTTTAAACTGATAACATATACAGTGCAGAACCAGGGAGTCTCCTGAGGTGTGAAATGACATATTAAAACAGTATCTCAGACTATGTGGGGATTTTAAATGACTTCACTGTCTTTCAGCCCTAGAAATTTATACTCACCCTTTAACGTTCAGCTTAGTTGTCAGTCTTCTGTAAATATTCCCTGAATGACCTGCCCTGGTCATCCCTTTCCTAGGCCCCCTGAACCCACTATTAAGGCCCTTCTCACAATGTTTTATTCTTATCCTTCCACGCATTCCTTTCATCTCTCTAGACCCCTCCCGAGTGTGCCCTTCTTTGTCTGCCCAGCACTGTCCAGGTGTCTGACATACTGTAGAAGTGGGACATGTGTGTTGGTTGAATAGGCCTGGTGTGAGGAGGCAGGTGTGAGTGGCACTGGTGGGAATGGTGAGGGGGTGAGAGATGTCAAAGAACTTGTGAAGAAAAATCTCTGAAAACTTAGGAAAAAAAAACACAAGAGCAAGGAAAATATTTCTAAAGATGAATGCCTGGGTTCCACTGATGAATCTAGGAGAACAGATGAGGAGAGAGATGATTTCTCCTTTAGACACCTTGCTTTGAGCTGACAGTGGGAAGTTTGAGTAGAAATATTTATGAGGAGGTTGTAATGTCAGACCCACAGAATTAAACACAGCCTAAGCATCAACTTGGATCTTTTTATCTTTCAGCTTCGACTTCTACTTCCTCCTCCAAAAACATTTTGCAAGGGAAAAAAGGTGATTATGACTTTCTACAGGTTCTTATTATATAGCTGGTATATGTAATGCATCATTTTTATGGTTTCCCGGTTATTTAATTAACATTGTTCTTCTCCTCTCCTGTGCCTTTATGTATGTATGTATGTATGTATGTATGTGCCTATGTATGTACGTGTGTATGTATTTCTTTATTTTGCATGGGTTCAGAGTTGCTCCATTGAACCTTAGGTTGTATGCCGGGTTATCTGTGAGCTGTAAACCATTTCAGATGGGACTGATAAGGAGCCATCAAAATAGATCTCATAGCTGAGTTAAGCTATAGATGCAGATGTTGTAAAGTTATCAAAGTTATAAAAGCAAACATAATTAGGAAATACATAAAAACATTTCTTAATAAGACAACAGAATTATCTTCAACTCAATCCCAGGTTTTTTGGTTTCTTTGTTTGTTTTTGTAAACCTTACTATTTTCTAACTTTAATGAAATCTGATAGGGTAACGTTTGCTCCCCATCATCCAGATGAACCCCTCTAGTAGACAGTGTATCCTGGGACAGATATGAAACTATATGCTACTTCATGAGAGAGGAAACTAAGGGCATATTTCTCTTCTGATTTTTTACATCTTCTTCCATCCTTCAATAAAATATACACACAGATGTACAGAATTATTTCTGAAGCAGAAATTATTGGAAAAATATTCATGGGGAAAATTTTGGGGACAGAGCTCTTGGGAGAGGGATGTAGCCTACATGAGGGGCTGACCTGGAAAATTGTTTACTTTGATACCCTCTTTGGCTCCACCTCAAGGTCTGTGCAGGCCTCCTTTCTATCTGTGAAAGTGGTTTCTCCCTCTGTGGATGAAGGCTGTGGAGGCAATAAATACATATATAATGAACAGCATAGATTCAGGATAAAGTGGTAGTTTTTTGAAATTCGAGAATGAATGAGAATTTGAGAAGGAGGGGAAGGTGCAAGGTGTCATTCTCACACACTTCAGGTAGAAATGGCCACCCAGGACATTCACAGAATGTGAATTCTACATTAACTTACACAGAGCTGGTCACTGGGAATTCATCTAACACTGGGAATGTGAGGTCCAGGCCTTTACATTACCTGATGTTCTGGGTCTTTTAAACACCCAGACATTGGGACATTTTACCCACAGGGATTAGTAAAGAGAAATTACTGTTGGATCTTGTCAGTGACTACTTTAAAGTCTCTACCATTCTCCATGGGTGCAGAGTTCCCTTATCTGGATTACCTGAAGGAGCTAGCAACTTCCAGCCCCCAGGTTCTATCCTTATCCATGGGTGTAGCACTTCGCATCAAGCAGGTTCAATTTTCCGTATATTTTGTGTCTTTTGATCAAGAACCAAAGTGACTCACAGTGGCAGATTTCAGGATAGCTTGGTGGATCCTCTGTATCTTCCAAAACTTCTCTTGTTGATGGAGCCCCAGGTTCCAGGAAACTTCACTGTCAATCTTGATACCACATGACAGCTTCCTGTCTCCTGATGAGGGCCACTTATACTTTCTGGTGACAGCTGCTGTGTATTGTCATATAATCTGAAGTACTCAGCCAGAACAACCATTTATTATATGCTAAAATTTGCTAAATCTCTTTTTCGAAGTGAACAATATTCATTTATTTACTCATTAAACATACAATTATCAAGTGCATAGAAATGCTCAATGTCCATAAAGAAGGTTGACATAATATCCCAGACCTAAAAGGATTTTTCCAACTTCATTGTCTACCATGGAAGAATAACTATTGGGAAGCAGGGATTCTAGGGGTCCTGAGAGGCAGGCAATGACATGACAATTCTCAGGTCACTTGCCAGTGGACCACACTAGTCTATGTCCTCTCTGCCCTGGGTGGAGATAAAAGCTGAGGCTGCCTGAAAGGAAGGAGGCCAAGTCATTCCACTGAAGGTACAAAAGCACCGCAAGTGTAGTACACAGTGGTCAGTTTCCTGTGAAAAGTCAGCCAGGTGCCATCTTGAGATTTAGATGAATGGAAAGGGGGCTGACCTTCTGGAAGAAGAATTGGAGTAGAGAGGACCTAGGATTCATTTTATCATTAGTGTGGTGGCTTAGAAGAGCTGCTGGAGATGCTGGACTTCTTCTTTGGGACACGTGCATGATTCTTAAGACCTTGATTGATAACGAAGATCCACAGGGTCCTGTCATACTACCAGTAGCCAAGAGTCCATGAGGAAGAGAAGGCAACTGTTCCAGGAAGAGTACTCTCACTCCTGGTAATAATAATCTTTGCTGGGATAGATATTACAGGCACATCAACAATGAATCATAAGATCCTCATGTATTAATAACTGCACTGGCTCAAGCTAAATCTGAATTTTGGCTGTACTGGAAACACCTGAAGACCCTTGGAAAATAACATTGCTTTAATGCCACTCTACACAAAATTTTGATTTAACCACCCTGAATAATGACTTGAACATTAGAATGGTTAAACAGTCTCCAGGTAATTTTGATATACAAGTTACTCATTCTATGATTTAAGGAAAATGCCAATGCTTATGCCCCTCTCAGAACAATTGATCAGAATCTCTGACACTGGAACCAGGACATTATTACTTTATATGCTCTCCTCAGACCATTCAAATGTGCAGCTGCACTAACAAACAAAGAGCCAAAAAAATAAGAGCCTGTCTTGTTTAAAATATATGGATGCAAGATTTTTATGCACTGTTTACTTTATTATTTCCTTGTTCTTCTGGGAAAAGGGTAGCCACCTTCTGGAGAGTGATGATGGTAATCTGTCAGTCCCTAGAGTGAGGAGAAAGAAACTGTTCCCAGGCCTCCATCCTGGAGCAGTCTCAGTCCCCTTTGGACATGTGATTCAGGATTCTCCCAGAACACTGAATGGGAACTCCTGGTAAGATGTCCCATAGCACTTGTATTTTCTCATATATGGATATAAAAGAAATGACCTGTCTTCTGATTCTGGTAAGATTTGCACCAAAATCCCAGGACAAGATTCAAAATAATTCTTAGTGACTTTTCCTCCTTTATTACTTTCTACATTAAGAGAAATAACATAGCTGTGTTACAAATTATTCTCCCCACTGGCTTCAAGAATGGTGTTTCTGATCTTTGTGTGTTGTTATTAGAAATGTACTCCAGACTTTGGGAAACAGACCCCTTTTTATGTATTAAATTGGAACCATTCATAGGGTCTCCACATCCCTGTATGCAGTGGACCCTAAAGGAACAATGGATTTAACAAATAAGCTTAAATTTTACTGTGAGAAGTGGGGATAGATTGGATTTGGGGTATGAGCAAGAATATAGACCCAGGGCAGATTCTCAAGTTTTCCGTGGAAGGTGTATGTTTCATGAAATGGAAACACCAAGAAAGAACATGTAGTGGGTATGGAGATGGGAGAATACATTCAGTTTTGACTGGATGACTTTAGGGTATGATTTAGGGCCCGGGAGAAGGTGTTGTGTGAGCACAGGGATGTGTGCAAAGTCAGGAGACAGGCTGGACATTGGGGACCTGGAGACACAGCAATGGAACTGCAGCTTTGAAAGTGATTTGGCCAAGATGGAAACCTGAGGGATTCTGTCTAAATGTTGGAGGAAAAGGACTGAAGGTAAAGTGATGCATCAGTGAGTCTGAGGGAGTAACTCCAAGAGAGAGATGGCATAGACCACACATGTTTGGAGAAAGCAGAAGGGGTCACAGTAGAGAAAGGTGGATGTTGTCATCCCTGCCTCCTCCTGCTCCTCAGTGACCCACTTCCCTCCTACCCAGCACTCATCGATGTGAGGGTGGGAGAGTTCCCAGGCCAATCTCATTTTTGTCACCTCAGATGGTTGCAAGAGGGGAGGAATTTCTCCAATAAACAATAAGATAGACAGGATGTTTCTCTCTGAAATAGAACAACCCTCAAGTGGTTCTCAAACATCTTGATTCTCTCAGAAAGCAGAACCAGGAAAACAACCAGTGGCTGATATAGTTCCTGATATTTCCTCATTCACATTTAAATGCTAATTTTCATTTTTAAGTGGTTTTCTGTTCTAATCACTTCTTCTTTGCCTTATTCATGAGGGAAAGATGCCCACTACTGTTTTGTGGTTGCAAGTAATGCCATCTGTCACTAGACAGATGGATTGACCGGTGTTATTAGACACATCTACTCCCAGACTGAGGAAGGAGAGCAGAGCCAGCCCAGCAGATCTCACTCACCAAGGTTGCCTTCAGGAACTGAGTGGACAACCAGGGGCTGGGGAGGATGAGGTGGTGCCTGGATTCCATGGGAGGTTGTGGCTAGCCAGTGTGAAATATTCCATGGGCTGACAGAGAACTGAAAACTGACATTCCAGGATGGGGAAGGTCAGTAGTGGTCCCTGGACTAGGAGAATTGTTGACTGAGAGACCTTATCCAGGGGATCAGAATAGGGAGGGGAATATACAGATAGGTTGTTCAAGGCTGTCTCAATTTTACTTGATGTCACAGCAGCACCTAAGACAGAACTTCAATATTAGTCCTTACACCATGTTTTCTTCATTAACAAAAAGCTGTCACAGGCCAGTTTTTTGTTATGAATACACATGTTTATATATAACACAGGGCATCTTCATATCTGCCGTATAAATTTATTTGGGTTTAATGAATAACAGTCAAGAATTGGATGAAAATATTATCAAATTTTATCTTCTCCAAGTGAAATTAAATCTGGTTGAAAGGACACATAGTGAGACTGGTAAGAAATCCAGTTTCAGTTGATTGTGCATGGGTTGGGAGAGAGCTCCCCACTCTGTTTACAGCACAAAGCACTTGCCCCACTCCCTGGACACTCAGAGATGGAGGCTCCATATCATACATGCCACGCTGAGTCATGGGGGATCTTCCTCGGGCTTCCAGAATCAAAGAGCTCCATCTTCCCTGGCAAGACATGGTCATTTGTGTCCATGGTCTTTCCAACCCAAAGACAGTGTCACCAGAATCCATAGTGCAGAAACCCCTACCAGGCCCTTCAACTCAGGGGGAGCCTACAGCCAAGAAAATAGGAAGTTTATTCCATCTTATTAATTTCCCAACATACCACCTTTCCATGATTCAGTTCAGGCATTGAAGTGTAGGCATAAGGATTTATCACTTTGTTTCAGAAACTTGATTTTTCTACAAGGTAATAAGATGATTGAGATTCCCATGAAATCATCCTCTTGTTTTGTTGCCTGTCTTTCTGTGTTAGGATCTCTGGTTTTATAGGAAAAACTTCTCCAGTCTGGTCACACAGGCCCTGCCCCTGAACTTCACTATAGGCCATGAATCCTTCTTCTGAAACCACTACTCTATGCTGTCCTTTCACAGATCAGAGAAACACGTAAGAGTCCCTGCATGTTCCCACAAATGCCACAAGTCCCAGGTTTCCACAACCCTGGTCATCAGGGGCCCATGAGGATATGGACATTGTTTTACCTTCTAGGAGGGAAACTCAGACAAATGTGTGATCTGCCTGGATGGAGGAAAGCTCTTCAGGTGTGGTACTTGTTACAGATTCTTTCATGGGGACTGTCACCTCCCACCTGTGGACACTAAGAGGTTTGTGAGATGCAGCCCCCTGTCTCCTTTTATAGAAAAATCCTCCTGCCATGCACACTCCCCCTGTGGGGTTCCTCCTTGTGTCCTGATGGGGACAGAGTGGGGCTGGAGGTACAGGGTCCAGCAGTATGATCCTGGGAGCAATTGAAAGACATTGGCAGCGAGAGATTAATGTTCTCCTCTCTCCTCTGGGAGGCTGAGGCCTGTGGCTGTGTCTTTTGTCAACACACTGCTACTGTCCTTTCCAGAACTTTCCCAGCATAGACTCCTGTTCACAAGAGTGGTGATGCTGATTGTTTGTATTCTACGCTTATTCAGAAAAGGAAAGAAACATGACCTGGTTTCCTTATTTTCCCACATTTCCAAATGGATGATGAAGGCCTCAGGTCCCTATGGGTTAAGTTACAGTCCCATCTCTGACACTCACGCCTGGTAGTCAGGGTACCTGTGCTCCCAGCTGTTTAGATGGGGAGAAGAGATCCTATCACTCACCCTGACACCACCCTCTACCCACTCACCCCCTGCAGCTACCCTCTATGGGAGGAAAGTCATCAATGAGAATAGTGGAGACCAGGGAAGGGGCACCCTTCTTCCCCACTGGATGTCTACCTGCCATTCACCTGAAAGGTGAACAGTGGCAGCTGTAGTGATGGTGCCTGTTTCTGGGCTTTGTCTTTTCTCACTTATATCTGACATTTCAGGAAGAGTTGGAATTGTACCTTCTGCAGAATAGGAAACTCTTCAGGATGTCAGCAGCATTACAGAAAATCTGAGATCCTGGTGAAGCTGATGGGGCCTGAGGAGAAGTTGGTGAGTTGAATGTGACCCCAAGCCTTCTCCTTTCTGCTCACACATGAGAAGTCGAACAGTCACAGGATGAAGGGGAGGGTGCCAAATGATTCCTCATCTTCTGATCGTGTTTCAGCCATACTAAAAACTCACCAGAAACTATTTGCAAGGAAAAAAAAAGACAGTCATTACCTGTTAGTATCCAAGAGCAATACCAGTTTGGGGAAACTTCCAGAAGACTGGTGTGGTCATATGTGTGTGTCTGGACATGCCTATGGGCTCATTCTCTCCAAGCTGTTTGTCATTCACTGCCTCTTTCTTTTGCAGAAATGTGAGTTCCTCCTCTTAAAGGTCTATTACCATTTAGAAAATAATGTTTTTCCAAGTATTCCACGTGAAAATTATGTAAGTAACATGAAAAAATCATCAATACAGGCTGCCATGATGTTACCTGACCCTGACATGGGCTCTCATGGGGTTTGTGATCTGAAACCTCTGGGAGGGAGAGCACGAGCTGCCTTTATCTTCACCTTGAATTTCTGCTGGATTAGATGGGAAACCACTGAAGACAGGCATTGCATTATGTCAGTAACTCTTCTATTGATGTTTTTCACCAGGTGAGAAAGGCTTCTCAATGTGTAGGGAAACTTAGGAAGTTGGACATAATCAAGAAAAAACTAATTAAAGGAAACTACCCTCAAGTTGAAGATTTTGTGTGGGCCATGGAGAATTTCTTTTGGGATCCCAAGGCAAGTGGTTCTCATGCTTTTGTTGCATTTTCTTTCCATGAGTCCTTCTGCTCTAATTTTCTGGGACTCGGGATTTTTCAGAGTTTCCCTCATTTTTTGTGATGAGCTTGTTACAAGCAAGAGTTCAGGAAGTGAGTGGTTTTTTACACTAAAGATTTAAGCTCACCTGGGAGAGAAACAACAAATCAGAAGGTGGCCTTGCACCCAGAACCCAGGACCTTGAGAGCTTTAGTAAAGAGGACAGGAGCCCACTGAAAATAGTCACATCCTTCTTGCTCCACACCTACAAAGGAGACTGCATCCTAAAGCCACATTGTTCCTCTTATCTGTCCCCAAATATACTCAATTAGACCTCTAAGAAATCTCAACTTGCAAAGTCCTTTGCATGTGATCACCATATAGTTAACAGCGGTGACCAAAGGGGAATAGAAATGGCAACATGAAAGGAAGATCACTGATGGTACTCAAATATCTGATATTTGATTGTTACTTTTCTCTCACCAAAAGAAACAACCCAAACCCTAAGGAGTACCAGTCCTCAAAAGTAGTAATGATTTCCCATTTCTGTCTAATCAACAAGAAGTAACCAAGCTCTTAGGAAACAAAAATTTCTCTTAGCTGCATGTGTTTGTAAACTTAACCCTGTTAAGAGTTCTGATCATTTTCAATTGCAAGGTGTCTAATGACAGGGATAATAAGTGCCATTATTTTTATGTGTTTTTTCCAGCAAATATATTTATACTTAAAAAAGGAAGAATTCATGAAGGACTTCAAAGAAATCTTTGCTATTCGGGACACAAATTAGAACAGTTCACTGGTGCAGTAGATGCTGTTGGAACTCTGAATATCCTGCTATCAAGCTGGATTTTCTCTGCAACAGAGAACCCTGCTATCAACTCTGCAACAGAAACCCTGCTTCTGTTAGGATTGGCTGCTGATGCCACCTCTCCTTAGTATATTGCTTCAGGCCAGATTCACCTAATCATTATATCTTTTTAACCTGGGGTTTTGTTCCCAGCCCCAAGGTTACACCAATGATACACAGTGAGTTATGTTCCCATGTCCCCAGGGACTCAAGCTAGAGCTATTGCCCAGCTGTGAGCATGTCCTTGCTTCATTTTCCCCTCCATGAAGGGGAAAGTAAGGGATACCCCTGCTCCTCTTACCCTCCTCCTCCTCAGAGAATTCTCACAATAAATCACTTATTTAAGAGACTTTATACTGACTTCCGGACAAGATGGAGGCATAGGTGGACACACTGTACCTCCACGCACAACCAAGATAGGAACAACAACAATTTAAAAACAGAATAACATCCAGAAATGATAGAAAATTGATCTGAATGGAAGTTGGACAACCAAGAAGTTGAATTAGATCCATGTATCCAGACTGGTAGGAGGGGCGGAGATGAGCAGCCGGGCACAGGTTGAGTCGCGGCACAGAGAACAGAGAGCAGTGGGACCGGCATGTAAGACATCCGGGAACATGTAAGGCATCCAGGGCATACAGGACCACAGCAGGTGGACCCTGAGTGCACAGGCAGCAACTGGCAGACCCCAGGCCAGGGGTGGCAACCGGCAACCAGCAGACCCAGTGCGATAATAAAACAAGGCAGGGCGAGCAACCCAGGATCACAGCGCTGGGAAATAGAGCCTCAGGACACTGATTGAGGACATCTGTGGGAATTGAGGAGCACGGAGAGACACCCATCCTGATGAGGGAGGTCCTTGGAGGGTCCCACTGCGTGCACAAGCCCACCCACATAGGAATTGGCACCAGAGGAGCCCAGTTCACTTGGGGGAAACAGCAGAGGGGACTGAGGTCCCATGGAGAATGGAGCAACCACCATTGTTCCCTCTCAACCCTGCCCCCACATACAATGTCACGACCCAGCAACTGGGGTGCCCTGCCCTGGTGAACACCTAAGGCTCCGCCCCTTACTGTAACAGGTGTGACCAGACCAAAAAAAAAAAAAAAAGATGGCTCAAACAGAAGAACAAATCAAAGCCCCAGAACTCATCCTTTTAAGTGACCAAGAGATACCTAACCTATCAGATGCCTAGTTCAAAACACTGGTAATCAGGATGCTCACAGACCTGGTTGATTTTGGTCACAAATTAGATGAACATATGCAGGCTACAATAAGAGAAAGGAAGAAAAATGCACAGGAAACCAATAGTGATGGGAAGGAAACTGGGACTCAAAAAAAATAGAATGGACCAGAAGGAAGAAAGAGACAACCAAACAGGAAAGAATGGAGAAATAAAAATTCAAACAAATGAGGAGAAGCTTAGGAACCTCCAGGATATCTTTAAACGTTTCAACTTCCAAATTATAGGGGTGCCAGAAGGAGAAGAGGAAGAGTCAGAAATTGAAAACATATTTGAACAAATAATAAAGGAGAACTTCCCCATTCTGACAAAGGAAATAGACTTCCAGGAAGTCCAGGAAGCTCAGATAGTACTAAAGAAGTTGGAGCCAAGACGGAACACACCAAGGCACATCATAATTACATTAGCCAAGGTAAAAATGAAGGAGAGAATCCTAGAAGCAGCAAGAGACAAGGAGACAGTAACCTACAAAGGAATTCCCATAAGACTGTCAGCTGATTTCTCAAAAGAGACCTTACAGGCAAGAAGGGGCTGGAAAGAACTATTCCAAGTCATGAAAGGTAAGGACCTACATCCAACATTGCTCTATCCAGCAAAGCTTTCATTTAGAATGGAAGGGCAGATCAAGTGCTTCTCAGATAAGGTCAAGTTAAAGGAGTTCATCATTACCATGCCCTTATTTTATGAAATGTTAAAGGGACTTATCTAAGAAAAGAAGATTTTAAAAAAAAAACATGTATAGTAAAATGACAGCAAACTCACAATTATTAACAACCACACCTAAAATGAAAACCAAAAGAAACTAAGCAAACAACTAGAACAGGAACAGAACCACAGAAAGGGAGATCACATGGAGGGTTGTCAACAGGGGAGTGGGAGGAGGAGAGAGGAGGGAAAAGGTACAGGGAATAAGTAGCATAGATGGTAGGTAGAAAATAGACAGGAGGAGGGCAAGAATAGAATGGGAAATGTAGAAGCTAAAGGACTTATGACACATGGACATGAACTAAAGCAGGGAATGTAGGTGGGAGAGGGTGTACAGGGTGGAGCGGAGTGAAAGGGGGGAATGGGACAACTGTAATATAGCACAATCAATAAAATATATTTAAAAAAAAGAGAGACTTTATACCAGCTTTGTTCTGGGGAAACCTGGCACACAATGGTCTTAGCCAGCCAGCTCTAAGCATGGGGTTCTGAGTTTGGATCGGAGTCTAGCCAAATGATTACATGAATAATATTGATAGTACCTAGGGTGCTGAAGCAGTGTAGTTACAAACATATTCACCTTCATGAAACTGAGTGATATATAGGGGAATAGTTTTACGACCTGATACAATTGTTTAGCATACACAAAGGGAGAAATAGTAACCATAACAACTATATAATTTGGTGGCTATTTCTAAGTTCCACTAATGTGTTAAATTGAATATATATATACATATATTAATTATTACATACAGCTGGAAGACAGATAGTAAGGAAGGCCTAGCACAGCCCCTAATTTTAAGAATGGCAGAACTTCAGAGAAGACTGGATCTAAGCTCAGGTGGCCTTTGAGTCAAAGTCAAGGCCCTGGTAAAGAAACCATGAAGCCCTGGAACTCAGACTGGGATGTCCTAGATAGATGCACCTGAGAACTCTGAAGTCTACATCATTCTGAACCCATAGGCCTGTAAAATGGTCCTTTGTCCTTAATGGTATACAGACCCATGCCCTACCCCACATCTTGCCTGAATTCAGACTATGCAGAGTTTTCTCACCATGATCAAACTAGAAATATGCTAGATAACACTGCTAGAAGAGACAGTTTACTCCAACAGAGCTTCAAGACTGGCCACATATACCAGCAGGTGCTAGGAGATTTGTGTGGGAGTGGATCTGCTGATACAGACACACTCTCCTGGGCCACAGAGCTTAACCAGTCTGGCAACTTCTAAAGGCAATGATTCTGGGTGGCTCCTAGTCACTTGCTATAAAGCACAGAGCATACTAGATGAAGTGAAAGAAGAAATACCAGACTTGCCAAGTCCAGCAAAATGGGAAAGATCCAAAAGCATTAGGAAAATGGCACAGCTTTACTCTCTATAGCTGGAAAACCCATCCAGCAGGTGGCTGCATCCTCAGAAGGCCTCATACACCACCTTAACAGGCATAAGGAATGCACTGCTGACAGGGCACCTGTATTCTTGAGATGCTCACTCAAACAGTCCTCTGCAGGTCGAAATAATGTAGGAATGATGGACACAGCTGGATTCCCTAGTAGCAAATGAAATGATAGGATTCCAGAGTAATTGAAGCTACATGGCAGCATTTAGCTGTCAGAGCAAGATGAGTAATCTCTGTGGTGGGAAGCAAGCTTAGAATGACAATGAGGGACCCCGACCCATACATGTCTGAGGAAATAGCTAATACCAGATGATGTTCTTGAAGGAAGACAGAGCAGCCAAGGGGATATTGCTTCATATATATTGCCAAAAGGCATTAAAGAAAGATGATCAGGTGATTGAGGTGTTACCTCAAAGAAAATACAACATTCCCTTGCCCAAGGTGTTGATGAAAATTATGGCAGTTCTTATGACAAAGGAGTGTGCAAGTGCACACAGTAGTAATTCCCTAAGTTCTTCACCAAAGGAACTTATGGCCTGGACATGTTAACAGAAATTATTTGGGCAGGAGAAGAGGAATAATATATTCAACATATTCAAGAAATATCTACTAACCAAGAATAGTACCCAGCAAAGCTGTCCTTTGGAAATGAGGGAGAAATACACTTTCTGAAACAAACTGAAATTGACGGTGTTCATCACCAGTAGACCTGCATTATAAGTCATGTTAAAGGGCCTACATGAAGCTAAAATCCAAGGATGTTAATTAATATCATAAAAATATAGGAATAATAGCCCTGGCTGGCATAGCTCAGTGGATTGAGCGCGGACTGGGAACCAAAGTGTCCCAGGTTTGATTCCCAGCCAGGGTACATGCCTGGGTTGCAGGCCATAACCCCCAGCAACCACACATTGATGTTTCTCTCTCTCTCTCTGTCTATCTCCCTCCCTTCCCCTCTAAAAATAAACAAATATCTTTAAAAAAAAACATAAGAATAAGTAAAACTCCCTGTACTTGTAAGTATACAGCTAAAATCAGATTCTCTGACACTGTAATGGTGTTACATAATTCACTACAACTGCACTTTAAAAGCTAAACACACATGTATTAAAAGTATCTAACATGCCCTGGCTGGTGTAGCTCAGTGGATTGAGTGTGGGCTGCGAACCAAAGTATCACAGATTCGATTCCCAGCCAAGGCACATGCCAGGGATGCAGGCCATGGTCCCCAGCAACCGCACATTCATGTCTCTCTCTCTCTCTCTCTCTCTCTCTCTCTCTCTCTCTCTCTCTCTCTCTCCCCCTCTCTCTCTCTCTCTCCCTCCCTCCTTTCTCTAAAAATAAATAAATAAATCTTTTTTAAAAAGTATCCAACACTATTGTATAATCACTCATCATTCAGTATACAATATTTAAAAAATGTAGCCTTGGTCAGTACAGCTCAGTTGGTTGGAATATCATCCCATAAACCATAATGTCACAAGTTTTATTTCCTGTCAGGGAACATGCTTATGTTGCAGGTTTGGTCCCAGTCTTGGTGCAAATGAGAAACAGATTCATATTTCTCTCTCACATTGATGTTTATCTCCCTCCCTATATCTCTCCCTTCCTCTATTTCTAGATTTAATGGGCATACCCTCAAGTGAGGATTTTAAAAAATTTATAAATTCTGACATCAATAATCATAAACAAAGTGGGAGAAATAAAAGTGTAAATTTTCTTTATATTGTCAAATTTAAGTTTTCATCAGCTTAAAATAAAATTATGGATATAAGATATTTTATGTAAGTCTTATGCTAACCATAAATAATGATCCTTTAGTACATACACAAGAGATTATCATAGAGGACACTAAGTATATGGCCACAAGTCATAAAATTGCACAGGAAGATAGTAAGAAAGAAAGCGAGGAACAAAGTAAGAAAGAGTAAAAAAATTAAAATCAGACCAGCAACATGGTGGAGGAGTGAATGGAAGCCACTCACCTCTTCCCAGGATCAATCTGTAATACAACTAAATTGTGCAGAAATCACCTGGAACAAACAACTGAGCAATACTGAGAGAGAAGACTTATAACATCGGACAGGCAGAAGCATCAGCTTCAGCACAACTTGTCTGCACCTGCACAACAGTATTCAAGATGTGGTGGGTGGAGTGACCCTCAACCAACCAGCTGGAGGGAAGGACTCACCAAAGAATGACCCCTCAACAACCAAAACCCAGTTACATCCAGAGAGCCAACATAAACGACATAAAGGGCATCCCAAGATCATCAAGTTCAGGAGATCAAGGATACTGCACTACTGAATCTCACAGGTCTCCTACCATAAAGTTCACACCACAAACTCAGGGAGTTAGAACAGATCAGTTTAAGAAGCAGAAGCAAACAAAAAGAGTCTCACAAATAATCGGAAGACAAGAAACAACCCCCAATCTAAAGGAAGGGAGGAATCCTCAGAAAGAGTGCTAAATGAAATAGAGGCAAGTCAACTATCAGATACTGAGTTCAAAACTGTGGTTATAAGGAAGCTCAATGAGTTCATTGAAAATTACCAAAAACTACAGGGAAACTATGAGGAAATTACTACAAACTATATGAGCATGAAAAAGGACATAGAAACTATCAGCAAGAGCCAAGAGGAAATGAAGAATACAGTTTCTGAATTGAAGAACTCTGTAGAAGGATCAAAAGCAGGCTGGATGGAACAG